GTTTTTGCTAGTTGTGTAAGTAACTAGAAATTTGGTGTTTTAAATGTAGGTTCTTACCGTTTTTGTACTGTTGTTATGAAGTTATATACATGTAGCTGAGACAACATATCTTGCAGAATAAAAATTATACAAAACATGATTATCAACACAAACAATTCAAAATAAATTTTGATATCGTGGGATTGCGTTCTCTTTTCGGTGCCTGGTTGGTAGGCAAAAATGTAAAACAATATGTAACACCTTTTGTGACGGGATTGCATTTTCTAGACACATGAAAAATATTGCACCACTTTATATTTCTATATTTCTAGGATGGTGGTTTGTCTGACATTTGCGCCCACACATATATAAGGCTCTTTATGAGTTATGTGAATATAATAAGAGCTAATAAAGGTCGTAAAGCAATGCTTTCACTAGGTTTTATTAATATTTTAAAAGGAATTACAAGGCAAAACGAACTAAAAATGATGTAGCGCTGATGATGTTACCTTTTGTCGTCTGAGAACAAAACTGAAAGTTACAGTCTTAAACAGCTCTAGCTGACACCAATAGCATTGCTTGCAAAAATAGTGAGTTATAAGTTCTACGTATGTTTTCAGCTGTCTTACAAAGCCAGCTGTCGGATGATCATGCAAAAAGCTCATTTCTAACAGTGTGTTTTGAGGTACTGAAATGAAAACTGTTAATTACACGGTTTTCATCTGAAGATCGTATTCTCTGTTTGTCTCTTTGTTTGGAGTTTGCTTAGTAAAAAGATCACGCAAATACACTGGAGAACTATTGACGTAAAACCCGCAATTTCAAAATTTATTTGATTATTAATCAGTTAAGATAGAATGAAGATTTCTTAGAAATTTCAAACTTCCCACATACTTTTGATGCGTGTATCTCATTTAATTCATCTTCTATATGGCATTGCAATATAGCAAGCAAATTCTTAGTAAATCTTAGTACAGAAACATTCGACGAAGCTTCTAAATGACAGATTTTCTTTAAACACCATCCATCTATATATAGGACTCTATTGTACAATAGTTACTTAACTGGGCTTTACTGCGGAACATGATAAACTCTGTTTTTCGGCGTTCATATTTAGTTTGTTTGCGTTCATTCAATTATTAGTCTTCAACCTATCAAGTATTGAAGGTCAGTATAAAGGTGAATGTCATCTCAACAACAAAAATCTAAAAGCAAATGTTTGAATAGATTTACAGCTAATCTGGGGATACAAATAAAACTTTAACAGCTTCGAAAATAAGTATAACATGTTGAATTATCAATCTATTGTGACCAGAAGTGCACCGGGAAGTACCGGGGAAGTAGACTGGAAAAACCAACATTTGCCGAGTTCCGGATAACATGTAATTATTCTTACTTTATTATGTGGCCCAATGAACACGAACTTGATGTTTTTGGTCTGTATTTTGTCAACAGCTCTAACCCGTTGGACAAACTTCATGACTTAGGTTTGATTTAATTGCAGACTTAATTTTCCATTTATATTTCACCACAATTATTCATCTCCTTAATCTACGTACTCATGTCTCAATAATATTTCTGATTATAATCACATGAGTGTTTCCGACGTCTAAAGCTAACTGATTAATTCATTGAATGAGGGTATTTCGCACGAGTCGAGTATAGAAATCAGAGGTTGAAATACATTGATTGATGGCTACTAAGCTTTAAAATGACCAAACAATATAAATGTCAAGTTATGAAGACTTAACTTATTTTACAAGTAAGAATTGAGTAATTTTTAAAGATCATATAAATAGAATTTCAGCTTATGTTATCAAAGAGCACAACTTCTTATAGATTTACAGTTTGAACAAATAGTACTAGTGTCCTTATAATTTGGCATTTTAGTTCACTAAATGTTGTATTTATTATACTGTCATACCCCATTCAATATAATGTGTGTTGCTCATCTAGAAACATCTGTTCTGTTCTCAACTTCAAACAGAAATACAATATTATCTGAGTTCTAACTTCAGGGAAGATATTTTTGATGACATGGTATTTATTATCATGGAATAGTTATCTCAATTCCATAGCATATAGTTTGTTTTTATAAGTTTTGTAACCTAGAAATACCAAACATAATATGTTTAATAGGTTGAAAAGTTGTTTTTCTGGAATCCTTCATTGAAACAAAACAAACTCGACTGAATAATATTTACATAAAAAACAATTGCAATCATGACACAAACAAGAATGTTTTAAATCTTTGTGATTTATTTTCAACTTATCATGTATAAATTCTGTACATATTCTTATATTACAAATATGGTCATCTACAGTAAAAATATCTCTTATTTTTAACAACAAACAACAACAACAACTACAACAATGATGATTTCCTACAACAAAAACAACATAAAAACCTGCTATGTACCTTTGTTGTGTATATTCTAATGTTTAATAGTATTTTCCACAGTGAACATTCAAAGTTAATATCAAGGAAATTTACTAATTATGTATTTGTAACTTTCAAAAACTCATGATTTGTATATTTGAATAGTACCATACTATCAAAGTAAAGTACAACAAAGGTACACAGCAAGTTTTCATTCCTGAAAAACAAGATACAATATTGTGATGGACATTATTATATCATTTATATATTTTGATTATCTACCAACTCACATAATTGATACACAATAAATATCATATATTTTTCAATTACAATCACAACTGTATTATTCAAATAGAGTGGTTTTACTCCGACATGATTCTCTAAAAACTGAATTGAGCCAATTGTTTTAATATTTGAGCATTTCCACTAGAAACAAAACTAATATTTACACAATGTTAACAACAAATTATTGTCTTTTTATACAAGATTCGTTTTTCAATATTTATTTCTCTTTTTACAAGATTTTACAAGATTTTCTCTTTGCTTTAAATAAATGACATAAAATTAATTTAACTCATAAATAAACAGGTTTGACGATTTAATCAAATATAAGATATTTGATGGTTTTTAATTGAAATATTGACAGTTTGTAGATTCACAATTTAAATAAAACGCTGTGATATGTTAGAACATGTAAAATAATGTAAATATAATAATCATGAGATTCTATATGAACATTATATAACAATATACATGTACAAGTATATAACAATATACATGTACGAGTATATAACAACAAACATGTACGAGTATATAACAATATACATGTATATAACAATATACATGTATATAACAACAAACATGTACGAGTATATAACAATATACATGTACGAGTATATAACAATATACATGTACGAGTATATAACAATATACATGTACGAGTATATAACAATATACATGTACGAGTATATAACAATATACATGTACGAGTATATAACAATATACATGTATGAGTATATAACAATATACATGTATGAGTATATAACAATATACATGTACGAGTATATAACAATATACATGTACGAGTATATAACAATATACATGTACGAGTATATAACAACAAACATGTACGAGTATATAACAATATACATGTATATAACAATATACATGTATATAACAACAAACATGTACGAGTATATAACAATATACATGTACGAGTATATAACAATATACATGTACGAGTATATAACAACAAACATGTACGAGTATATAACAATATACATGTATATAACAATATACATGTATATAACAACAAACATGTACGAGTATATAACAATATACATGTACGAGTATATAACAATATACATGTACGAGTATATAACAACAAACATGTACGAGTATATAACAATATACATGTACGAGTATATAACAATATACATGTACGAGTATATAACAATATACATGTACGAGTATATAACAATATACATGTACGAGTATATAACAATATACATGTACGAGTATATAACAATATACATGTACGAGTATATAACAATATACATGTACGAGTATATAACAATATACATGTATGAGTATTATATAACAATATACATGTTTTGTTTGATTGGATTTTACGTCACATCAACACAGTAAAGGTCATTGGATTTGCCCTGTTTTAAGTTTGGAACAATCCATTTGAAGTTTAAGGGATTTCAATATCAATATACAAAATCTGAGCTATTGACAGTATAAAGCCTGGTCAGTACAAGCTGACTTGCTCTATACCGAAGGCAACGGCTAATTACCATCAGCTCCAGCAGGTTGAGGAATAAAATGCTCCATCAGGTAAGTTGTAGGTCATTTCAAACAGTACAAGACAATTGTCTTGTAATCTGTTGTAACAAAACATATTTGTGAAAGTCCAGAAACATCAAATCCAGGAATATCGTACATGTGTAAGTGTCAATGTGTGAAATGTTATAACCATTACTGTTGTAAACAAGAGTTCTTTAACCGATGTGTACATTATTTTAAACTTGAAAATTTTAACATACTGTATACCTTATACATTGGTTTAAACTGCCTTTAGATCTTAGTTATACAGATGTAATAGTCACATGAAAGCAGAATTACATCTACCTCCCTTGGATTCTCTTCAAACATGTCCATTATGTTGTTTGTTGTCAATGAAATTATAAGTCATATTTTCACCCCCATTGTAAAATTGCAAAAAATACACACACCATTACAAAAGCTTAGTATTTTGGAAAAAAACAATGAAAATATACCAGCACAAAAATATCTAATAGTATTGATAGCACACCTTTGGATTGGAGAACAAAATGTTTTCAATTTTAACTACAAGAATTCATTAAGAGATTCAGATATGTATAAACATTCACAATCTCCGTGATGTTTAACATCTAAAATTTACTACTGTATAACCTTTGATAAAGTCTGGTTGTCACACTAAACTGAAAAACAGGCTGGCCTGGCTTTAATTCTGGTGGCATAGGTGTGTTACTGTTCTCATCTGCACCAGGGTCTTTCAAATAGAAGACTATAAAATCTATTTGAAAGACCCTGTTTGCACTCAAAGAGTTGAACTGTCTAACTATTGAAATATATTGTATATATATATATATATACATTGTAAAAGATGTTATACTGATGTAAAGAGCAGTGAGAAGAAAAAAAGCTTGTTTTCTTCTTGCACACAATATAAAAAACAATTCTTAAAAGTCTTCAAATATTTAACATTGGTCCTTCTAACAGACTACCAGTATATTTCTGTTACATTACCATATATCGTCACAACTTATAAAGATTATTGCCATATAGTTACATTTTGTACAAAACTGTATGGAATTAGGATACTAACACTGGGGAACAAATACATGTATAACAACACAAGACCATGTACATGGCACTTTGGTGTGAAACCAGGATTTCAGATCCATTTTGTACTGTCATTGCTGTGTAACTGCACACATTGTGATGTTTATTATATACATGTGTTAACATCAACCATCTGTCTCCATATTTAATGACTATCCATTGCATTTAGATATTTCTGCTGAACAATCTTTGGAATTACTTTTTGTCTGAAAAAAAAAAGAAAAAGAAAATATAATCAATAGCATTAAAACATTTTTCAGTTCATGTGTGTCATCAATAATTAGTACATGACTGTATTGTCATTAATTTAAAGTGGATTATTAATGAAAGCAATAAATTTCAATTATCATAATACATATTATACAAATATCACATGACTGACAGGGAGATAGTGGGGTGATAAAGTTTATTGTCAACGCAGGATCTGTATATTGTGGGTTATATGCCAGTTGAAAAGTTGTTTATGTACCTGTTGACTTACAACAACCTTTATAGATATTCATATACAGATATTCTTCTTATTTACATTTAAATCGAATGGTTTCAGGTGATCTTTCATGTGAAACAGAATATCATAAGAGTGGTTGAAAAAGTAGACACTTATTTTAGAATGAACCTGACACAATTACTTTTAAAGATTTTATTTTCATTGTTAATTTTTAGCTTCTTTGGCTTACATGTACATGAGACTAGAACTTTTTTTATATTACTATATAAGAGGACCATCTAAGGATCGCTCCATTGAAGTTTGGTCAAAATCTAACAATTAGTTTGGAAGAAGATACTATTTAATGAAATTGTGGATAACAACAAGCAAAAGACAAAACTAAATTTTCAGCACTTTGTTCCCAAGTAAACTTAGTGTGCAAATAAATTAACAATTTAGTTTATACAGAATTTAGTTTGATTTGATTGTTATGTAAAATGTTAACTTATAGACACTTTCTCGAATTAATAAACAGTTTAAGAAGTTATACATACCTAAGAGGTATTAAAATAAAGATGAGAACAGGGAAAAACATTTTCAGGTATGGATATGGTGCAAAGCCAAATGCACACAATACAGCAAGCTGGATTAACTGTAGTAGTGTGAAGAAATGCATCATTCGTTGTGGAACCCTCCGGATATAGTGGTTTGGTGGATAAGCACTCTGTAAAATAACAATTCTCATATTTATATTTAATGTATAGAAAATTTTGATAATATATTTTTTGTTGTAACAATGTATATGTTTTTTTTTTTTCCTCTATGATTGCGTTGAGAAGTACAAAGAACCCAACAAAGGTAAATGTTGGACCATTTTTAATCTCCTTTCATATAAAAATATATTCTTTGCTCTGTAAATGCTATACTTAAACTGGTTCAACGTTTGAAATTAAGTTGGAAGACATTATGTTGTCGTATACTTTGTTTTTAAAACAAAGATACAAAGGGCAATAACTCCTGTTTTATCCTAAAGTAAAATAATTGAAAGTAGCAAAAATGCATATTTTGAAATGTTCAGATGATAATTTCATGTTTTGAAATGTTCAAATGATAAATTAATGTTTTGAAAATTTCAAATGATAATTAAACAATACTGGAACCTGTTCTGTTATGAGCAGCATAATTCTCTCAAACAGCTGGTTCCCGGTGAGTGCTGTGACAGCTATATACAAGAATAGTCCATAGAGAACTGGTGTCGGAATATAAGATAACACTGGCAATATAAGCAGTGATAATCCAATCATAACATTGGAGAATATTGATGTCAGACGTGTTTCTCTCACTCTCACAATGCTGAAATATCATAAAGACATCATTTTATTACACTAATTCATTAAAAGAATAAAACAATAAAAGCAATATGAACAATTTTCCTGCTTTAGCTGTAGACCAGTTGACCAAAAACAAAGTGACAAGCTATTTGAAAGTAGAGGTTGACGAGATAGAATGTAAGCCAGCAAAAAAGTATCTCTTGATTAAACAATTTTGGTAATTTGTCTGACTAGCAATTACTTCACCGTTTTTAACCCTTACCACTCTAAATTTGTAAAATGGACTGCATCAACCCATTGTAGTGTTAAGAAATTTAAATAGTCAAATACATACGAGTATACTGATCTGTTGTTATATTTGTGTATCACAATAGCTACACTTTTGCTTACTGTATGTTAAGGGGCGCTAAAATATTGTAGGGTAATGAGAAATTTGTCAGACAAACTTCAAAAAGGTGAATAATTATTCAAGTATTGGTAGGTCGACAACAAACCAAAAAAATTGCTTATAAAACTTTAGTTCTACTTGGAACAAAAAATATAACACAAACCCATTACTTATGTAACTTTAGTTCTACTTGAAAACACCAAAACAATTATACATGAACAAACAAACACACTACTTATTTAACCTTAGTACTACTTATAGAACTAATAACAATGCTTATATAAATTTAGTCCTAACCACAAAACATAAACATGAATTTAACTGTCTGAAGTCTATCTGAAATATAATTATATTCTTTAAGTTCTACTTTCCACATAAGACCCACGTGTTTAACTAATTTACAAAGTACTAGTCTACTGAATGTCATCTAAAACGAGGACAGAAGAATACACAACATCTATGTGATTCAAAATCAGACAATTTTAACAGTTTGATGAATAAAGGGAAACAACTCCAGATAAAAAAACTATTTACATTGAATAGATATGTCCTTGATCAACACGTTCCTCTACATCAGCGAGGGCTCTCACGTGTAACGGTGAGTGAGGTAGAGCAGCGTGCACCCAGGGAAATGCAAATATTGACAGCACACCATTGATTAGCCCAATAACAAATAGATCCCAGTGATATGCTGTACCCTTCTTCATCCTGAAATAAAATGTTAACTATTAATTTACATTCATATAAAAGTAAAATTTACAATTTAAAAATCAAATTTAGATAACAAATTATTAAACAAATAAAATAATGAACAAGTGTAACTACCAACAAGATTAATGACAAAGTGTAACTACAAAAAAGTAAGAATGTGCAAGTTTAAATGATGAACAAGTAAAATATTGAACTTGTTAATCTTTGAGAAAAGTTAAACAATGAACAAGTTAAATTTCAAACAAATTATGTTATTGTTCATTGAACTTTAAAGGCAAAACAAAAAAGCTATAAGAGCCAAGTTTGCAGTGACAATATTACAATACTTGCGACAATAGTACACTACTTACATTAAAGCAAAAAGAATTTTAACAAATTGAGAAATATTTTGAATTTACAAGCCATTATGCTTAAAGTTCTTACTTGTTTTGTGGAGCATTTACTAGAGCGGCAGAAATATTTTGATCCATGAAGAAGAGTAGTGAGAGACAGAAGCCTAGTCCCATACCACCGAATACAGCACCGACTGATAGGCTATGTAGAGGAACTATAGTAAATATATTATCTTCACGCTTAGAGTCAAACCCTTTACCCACTGTAAATATACAATATATATAATACTGTAAATAAATGTTATTCAAAAAGAAAAATTCATGGTTCTAAATGAATGCACATATTAAATGTCATAACTTGATGTTCTGTAGATTACTGAAAATTAATTGCAATTTATAAATATATCTTGATAATTTTACAGTAAAAATATCAAATAATTATAATTTCAATGTGGTGAAACTATATTTGAATGCAGAACATTACCAATTATCATTAGAAATGGATGTAAATTTTATACTCTACATTAAAAATGTAGATGATAATTGCAAGCAAAGTTTAATCATAGCAAATATTTTAAGCTACACGAACAATGTAAGGTCATATCAAAACTTCCCTGCTTCACTGGTGGAGAAAAACTTCCAAGTACTGGAGATAGAACCATCAAGTCAAATGAAAAGATCCAAAGATTTTTGTTAAATTTGAACCAACACGTACACAAGGCAAGTGTTTGAAGTCAAGAACCTCCATTACTCAACCACAAGGTCCAAATATAATGGGCATTACTATGTCATTATGACATGCACTGCTACACTTATTGACATGAAATAATACAACACAAGAGAATCTAATAATTGTTCATCAATATGCTAATTCAGCAGACAATTTTACTAATATTATTTATGGATAAAAAGGAAGAATTCAAAGAAACCACACGTAGCTAATATTATTTATATATTAAAGCAGAATATAACTTACTATTAACATCATCAAAGGCAAACACACCAATCAAACTGACAATAATAACAGCCACAGGTAGAGAATAATCGGCCAATAACTCTCTCTTACCAGGATTCAAATATGGCCTGAAATATAAAATACATGTTGATTAACAATTTAATGTTATAGATTAGTTGGATTATATCAAAAGAGAGAAAACCCATGTTTTGTTAAACCAAACAATATCACAAACAATACCATGGCAAGAAACAAAATAAGAAAAGATTTTAGTTCCATTCTGTAGCAAGTTTCCAACTAGAGTTTTAATTACACAAAGATAAAATGACTGAGTCACTCCAAGAATGGCATTGACACTTTGAGTGAGCTAACATTTGTTAAATAAATCACATATTTTAACAGATCCAAAGTTCAGATCAAAATTTATTTCAGATATGAATTCTTACTGATTTCAACTGACCAAGAAATAATAATACTATTAGGCTAAACTACCAATAATAGCATTTAATCTTCTATTTTTCTACCATACAAAACAACCCCAGATACAAATGTGGCAATGATTCCTGTTTCAAAATCTGACATCTATCACGATTTATGTAAGTTTGTGATATGCCCTTTTTTTTTTTTTATGCGTTTATTTAAGGTCGCCGCCGGAAAGCCCATATGGGCGACCGTACACTCAAGTCAGGCCATCATAGAGCGTCCCGCCGAGATTTTTTTCGTCGATTTTTTTCAGCTTTTATTGGTGGAGGAAGACCCCAGGTGCCCCTCCGGGCATTATTTCAGGCACGAGCGGGCACCCGGGTAGAACCACCGACCTTCCGTAAGCCAGCTGGATGGCTTCCTCACATGAAAGATTTCGACCCAAGTGAGGATCGAACCTACAGCGGTGAGGGACCAGTGATCTCAAGTCAGCGATATGCCCTTACGTTTTTGTAAAGTTATAAAGTGTGACACCGAGCCAGAGTGTTCCCAGTAGTAGTAGGAGATACAGTAAACTGACATCACGTTCACACTCTCGTATCGGTGTTGTCACATTGTTCATCGTGTTTTCTAGAGCAACTTGTGAACTGTTATAATTCTCCCCACACTCTGGAATGTTGTAATGTTCACCAAAATCTGAAACAATACACATGTTTACACATTTATAATTATCATGTATCTATATACATGTATACATAATTATTTGATTAAATAAGTACAGTTTTACACTTGAATAAAGTGTAATTATAAGTAAATGAAATATGTGTTTGCACAAGTGTATCTCTTGTAATAACAGTATCTTTTTAAGTGTTCTCCTTTGTTTTTTTAAACAATCTAAGAGCTGGTATTCCTGATGAAAATACCAAATTATCAATATATTTCAACGAACAAAAGCCTAGATTATGTCCAATTTTCTAAATTCAAAAAGGGCCATAATTTTGTGCATAATTCTGTCAAAATCAATGTTTAAGTTATTGCCCTTAGACAGTGACCTTCTATTATGCTCTCAAATAAGTGTGTGAAGTTTCAATCCATTTCCTTTATTAGTTTTTTAGTGATAACAACTTGCACGGAAAAGCTTTACCAAAGTGTGACGCCAACAACCGGGTGAGTACAATAGCTCTCTCCTTACTCTAGGAATAGTCAAGTCTAATTGCTCATAAAATAACATTATTATAACTAGAGTAATCATACATACTATGTACAGTATTTTTGATAGCATCTATTGTGAAAGCTATGGATATAAACAAGGCAAATATCTCCTCTGATGACCTGAAAGGTAAGATTATAATGCTGATAAACTAATGACATATCACATCATCTCTATATCTTATAGCTTTATAATTAACCCTCAATTAAGATCAGCTACATTAAATACAATATAAATATTGCAAGTTTGATCATTTCATATGAGCCGCGTCACGACAAAACCAACATAGTATGTTTGCAACCAGTATGGATCCAGACCAGCCTGCGCATCCGCGTAGTCTGATCAGGATCCATGCTGTTCGCTATCAGTTTCTCTACTTGTTATAGGGTTTGTAAGCGAACAGCATGGATCCTGATCAGACTGCGCGGATGCGCAGGCTGGTCTGGATCCATGCTGGTCGCAAACCCATTATGTTGGTTTTGTCGTGACGCGGCTCATATAGACTTCAAGTAAACAAGTCTAGACAAAATTTATAACGAGAGCCTGTGGACAGCTTCCAACAGTCTAATGTAAGTCAATGAACTTAATTAAGATTCATTCTATCACCAGAAATCATAAAGCCATAAAATGTCAATAAAATCAAAATTGTCATTAGTGGCAAATTCTATATGTGTTATATAGAGAAATTCATAATGGTTATATCACATAGTAAACAACCAATGTCATGAGGTAAAATTATATGTTCAATCAAATTTTTACCAATTTTCATATTTAGAAATTGAACCAAATACAAACAGCATAAATTTTCATATCTATGAGATAACTCTCAGTTCATGCCAAAAAATAAATATTGCTAGTTTCTTCCCTTTGACTGGATGCTTACATTTATGTATGTGTTACATCTAACAAAATTCTATTGTAGCAACTGTTATGTCCTAACAAAAATTATCTGTGTTTTACTTATTAAAGGGTATAAAGCTACATCTAATAAAATATTTGAAATTAAATAAAAATTTCATTAACATTAAGATAAACAAGAAATAAGTAAGATCTTACCTTGTTGACCATTTCATAACATCACTGAGATCAAATGCGGAGTATAAGAAGAGAAAGAAGGTATTCCACAAACCAACGCAACAAAACATCGCCTGAAAGTCCAGGTCAAAATCCTCACATATACTGTATATAACTGAAATAAACATATCCGTCACATGATTATATCCAACTTATGATGAAATCATTAATGATATATTTAACATCAAATCATTATATTTCATACATGTGAAATTCTTTCCATGATTAAGTGGGAGATATCTCTTCAAAAGGAGGGAGATTTTAGAATTTACAACAAAGAATGAAGTTCTGACATTAAAAAGAGGACAATTTCTTAAAATTTGTGAAAATACCCCTTAATTTTAAGAAAAATCTTTGAAAATATGGCTGCAGAAAGTGGGAGTCTCCCGCTAAAAATGGGAGAGTTCACATGTATGATATTTTCCTATCATAGTGTAGTTTTTTTGTTTGTTAAAGATTCCTGTACCTTTGTACTAATTTTTGTTTCAGGGCTCTTTTCCTTCTTTAAGTGGAGCCTTTAACATCCCCCCCCCCCCCCCCAAAAAAAAAAATTCTTGGAAAAAAATTATGCTATTTTGCTCTTTTATTCAAATTACATTAAGCTTTTTCTCTTCTTTTGCAATATTGTTTTTCCTAAAAATTTACCCTGCCCCTACTGAACAAGCCCAGTTAAAAAGGGTCTGAAATTCTATGATGTACTAGTAAATGGAATTTTAACAAATGAAAGATCTCTCTAACCAGAATACAGGATCAACATAGAATATATGTGATTTATATGGTAGATCAATAAACTTTTTTAAAGTACACCAGAGGCATACTGTTCAACACAGCAAGTGTTTAATTTTGGCATATCAAGAATTTTCTTTTGGTATACCATCAGCATACTTCTTTTTTGCATACTTATTGTCAACTTTTGGCATATCAAATACCTACTGTCAGAAGTCTTGGTATACCAAGACCTTACTTTAGGCTTTCAATGGATGCACATTTGCTAAATTAAAGGTCTTTTTTTTTACAGTACCTATCTAAACAAGCAATTATCATAGTATTGCAAGCAATCCATAAGTCCCCTACCGGTAAGAGCCCAAGCAACATTCTGAAGGGCCATTGGCCATTCACTTATGTTTCTATTTTAAGTAAATTTGTTGAAAAAGTTCTTTAAAAGTGATCACAGTGAACAGACAGACAGAAGGACACTCTAAAGTTATTTTTTAAACATCCCCGTTATCAAAATATAACATTTTAAAAGCAAAATTTAAAAAACAAGAGCGATCAGTAATCACATGTGTCGCCTTATGATGGCCAATTTCATGTTGGGACAAAGTTTGTGACAGACGGACAGACTGTCAGTGCACAACTAGACTTGGTACTGATCATTCCTGTAAAGTTTGGATAAAATTGCACCAGTAGTTTATGAGGAGAAGGCCGGACAAGCTTTTGCGTATTTGGCAACACACAGAAAAAACACCTTTTTATCAAAGGGCCATAACTCGGCCAAAAATCATTCAACCGGAAAACCCGTGCAATATGTGCAAGGACTTGAGCTACAGATCAATCCTGTAAAGTTTCATTGAAATTGCTTAAGTGGTATAAGAGAAGTAGTCCGGACAAACTTTAAAAATAACAAGAGGGCCATGATGGCCCTGAGGTCGCTCACCTGTATATAGCCCCCCCCCCCCAGCCCAATTTTTACCCAAGGGCTTTTATTTGTTTATTTGAACAGACTTGGTAGACACCAATAAGAAGATGTTTCATGCAAAACATCTAAGTTCTAGCTCATTGGGTTTTTTAAAAGAAGATTTTTTAAGTTTTTACTATACACATAGAGTAAAAAACAATGACACCCCTCGGGCAGGGCCAGTTTTGACCCCTGGGCTTTTATTTGAACAAACTTTGTAGATATTTACTTAAAGATGTTGCATGCTTAATATCTAAACTCTAGTTATTTGGGTTTTTTCAAAGAAGATTTTTAAGTTTTTGCTATGTATATAAGGAAAATCAATGACCCCGGGGCGGGGCCAGTTTTGACCCCAGGGCTTTTATTTGAACATACTTGGTAGACACCCATTAGAACATGTCTCATGCTAAATATCTTAGCTCTAGCTCTTTGGGTTCTTTAAAAGAAGATTTTATAAGTTTTTACTATATGCATATAAGGAAAATCAATGACCCCTGGGGAGGGGCCAATTTGGACCCCAGGGGTTTTATTTGAACAAACTTGGTAGACATTCACTAGAAGATGTTTCATGCCAAATATATAAGCTTTAGCTCTTACAGTTCTTTAAAAGAAGATTTTTTAAGTTTTTACTATATGCATATAGGGAAAATCAATGACCCCCTGGGGCGGGGCCAATTTTGACCCCAGGGCTTTTATTTGAACAAACTTTGGTAGACATTTACTAGAAGATGTTTTATGCCAAATATCTAAGCTCTAGCTCTTACGGTTCTTTAAAAGAAGATTTTTTAAGTTTAAACTATATGCATATAGGGAAAATCAATTACCCCCCAGGGCGGGGCCAATTTTGACCCCAGGGCTTTTATTTGAACAAACTTGGTAGACATTCACTAGAAGATGTTTCATGCCAAATATCTAAGCTCTAGCTCTTTGGGTTCTTTAAAAGAAGATTTTTTTAAGTATACTTTATGCATATAGGGAAAATCAATGACCCCCTGGGCGGGGCCAATTTTTGACCCCAGGGCTTTTATTTGAACAAACTTGGTAGACATTCACTAGAAGATGTTTCATGCCAAATATCTAAGCTCTAGCTCTTACAGTTCTTTAAAGGAAGATTTTTTAAGTGTTTACTATATGCATATAGGGAAAATCAATGACCCCCCGGGGCGGGGCCAATTTTGACCCCAGGGCTTTTATTTGAACAAACTTGGTAGACACTCACTAGAAGATGTTCCATGCCAAAAATCTTAGCTCTAGCTCTTACAGTTCTTTAAAAGAAGATCTTTTAAGTTTTTACTATATGCATATAGGGAAAATCAATGACCCCCGGGGGCGGGCCAATTTTGACCCAGGGCTTTTATTTGAACAAACTTGGTAGACACTCATTAGAAGATGTTTCATGCCAAATATCTAAGCTCTAGCTCTTTAGGGTTGTTTAAAAGAAGATATTTAAAGATTTTTCTTTCGGTTGCCATGGCAACCAGAGTTCTGCATGGAATTAAATTCTTTGAACAATTTTTAAAGGTGACCACCAAAGGAACATTCCTGTGAAGTTTGGATGAAATTGGCTCAGTGGTTTATGAGGAGATGTCATTTAAAGCAAAAGTTTACGGACGGACGACGGACGACGGACGGACGACGGATGGACGGACGGACGGACGCCGGACGAAAAGCGATCACAAAAGCTCACCCTGTCACTTTGTGACAGGTGAGCTAAAAATTATTAAAGGGCCATAACTCTGACAAAAATCATTGAACCGGAAAATGCTGATAATATGCACAACAACCCTTGGTACTGATCATTCCTGTAAAGTTTAGATGAAATTGGCACCAGTAGTTTATGAGGAGTAGTCCGGACAAGCTTTTGTGTATCTGGCAACACACAGAAAAATACACCTTTTTTATCAAAGGGCCATAACTCGGCCAAAAATCATTCAACCGGAAAAACCCTTGCAATATGCGCAAGGACTTGAGCTACAGATCAATCCTGTAAAGTTTCATTGAAATTGCTTAAGTGGTATAAGAGAAGTAGTCCGGACAAACTTTTAAATTAAAAATTATTAAAGGGCCATAACTCTGCCAAAAATCATTGAACCGGAAAATGCTGACAATATGCACAACTAGACTTGGTACTGATCATTCCTGTAAAGTTTGGATGAAATTGCACCAGTAGTTTATGAGGAGTAGTCCGAACAAGTTTGGTGACGGACAGACGGACAGACAGATGACGGAGAAGTGATCCCTATATGTCGCCACTACTCCGTAGAGGCGACACAAAAAGGAGATAATGATGTCATACATGATGTGAGTGTAACAAAGAACAATTAGAAATGAAGGTATGAATATTGAATATTTATTTTGAAATTGAAGTAAATGAAAGTTAAAAGAACAAATAGGAAAAATTAAAAGTTTAAGGAGGAGATAATTCTGGAAATATGGATGCTAGATTTATAAACCTTGTCATATTATAATGATGTGGGAGTTTGAAGAAAATTCTATCATGATTGAAGAAGTTGGAGTAAAAATTACCAATTTCTCAAAAAAAAGTCTAAGTTCAAAAGGGGCATAATTCTGGAAATAGTCTTGCTAGAGTATTGAACACTCACAAATGTTGAGTGATAATAAGAAACATTTATTTGAAGTTTGAAGTAGATACGTTCAGAAAAAAAGAAGTTATCAGAAATCTTGAAATTCAGTCTATTTGTTGCCATGGCAACCAGAATTTTCAACACAGGAAGATAAGAAAAGGATGTGCATAATTTCCATACTGCCATCTACCCATATGTTAAGTTTCATAAAAATATTTTCAATACTTTTTGCGTTATTACTGGATCCAGGTTATGTGTAAAATCTGCCATATTTTCAGTCTATTTGTTGCCATAGCAACCAGAATTTTCAGCATAGGAAAAAAAGAAAAAGACGTGCATAATCTCCATACTGCCATCTATCCATATATCAAGTTTCATAAAAATATTTTCAGTACTTTTTGCGTTATCGCGGGATCCAGGTTATGTGTAAAATTTGCCATATTTTCAGTCTATTTGTTGCCATAGCAACCAGAATTTTCAACATAGGAAGAAAAGAAAAAGACGTGCATAATCTCCATACTGCCATCTATCCATATACCAAGTTTCATTAAAATATTTTCAGTACTTTTTGTGTTATCGCGGGATCCAGTTTTGTGGACGGACGGACTGACGGACGGACAGACAGACGGACAGAGGGTAAACCTAAAGTCCCCTCCGGTAAACCGGTAGGGGACTAATAAACATTTAATATTTAATTTGAGCCTATGTTAGGTATAGCAAGATCTTACTTTTGGTATATAGTGCCAGTGGTGCAGTGGTAAGAAGTACAATCTGTGGTGTTCCACCAAACAAAGCAAATGCCAGACCTCCAATAGCCTGTGAGTACAACACCTTCTCTACATCTGTAAACAATCACTCATTTTACTTTCTTCAGTTTCTATACTTAAATCAAGTATTTACATATCTCTAAGAAAGAATCAAGTGTTTTTGACAGGTTATCACACAGAATTTGGCACAGCATCCCTAGCAGGAATTTTTATAAAAGTTTTAAAGTATTAAATTAAAATGTATAACCATATGTAGAGTACTTTTAAACCATAAAGTTCTGTAAAAAATCCATTTGAGAAACTTACAGGTGCTGTAACAAATGTTTCATTTTACACAAAGGGTAAAGGTAAATAAACTTCATCATTATAACAGATATTTTAGAATGAGACAGACATTCCTTATCAAGTTTACATCTAGAGAACAATTAAAATACAAAATTGTAAAAGATATTTAAGATATACATACTGAGAGAGCCATATGTATTTTCACTGTTCAATACACCAAATGCAATAGAAGGCATAAGGCAGGCAAAATACAAGAAGAACGTTGTAGATAGAGTCTTTTGAATAGTCTTTGGTCCAAAAATACCTGAAATATAAATATTTATCATAATCATACATTTCTTTACAGTAATTTATTAAAATTGCCTATAATTATACCCCTAGAGCAAGACCCATCCACACATTAGTTTTGTTAATTTGGGTGTGGGAGGGGTGGGGGAAGGGAGTGTGACTTGCACTGCCACCACATGGAAACATTTAGGAGCATATGTCATTTACTGTCCTTGCAGGGCGAGCTTTCCATTTGATATTTCAAATGTCCCTACTATTCCCCATTACCCCACTACTGGGGGAATCAGGATAATGATTAAATGACTATTAGATAGTTCCATTTTCAAAGTAGAGAGAGTTCATAAAGTAAATTCAACAAAGAAAGCTACATGTAAAATAAAGTTAATGTTCAATAGATTGCATTTATAAATCTAATCACATTGAATTTATACATTCTGATCAAACAGATCTGGTTATCATGAGTTCAACTGAGAATGGGCAATAATCTAAACATTCATGTAAATCACCAATCTCCCTCATGGCTATGTACTCAAGTAAAATAATTGCAGTTATAAATGGCCACTGTGATTAGCAGATAAAAGAGACAACTTTACCAGAGGACAATAAATCTGCAATCTGTATCTTTTTCTATCTGATTAAACTACACAAACAATCTTTAAAGGTAATGATATTTGTAAAAGCCTGCAAAAAAATATTTAAAGTTGATACCCCACCGAGTCACATTTCTGTTTAATCATGTTTTGATTAAGAAAATTTTAATGTGTAAAAATAAAACAAACCGCTTTATCTGAAACATTGGCTTTTACTTAAGGCACATTTAGACAAAAAACACTGTCACTACATGTAGTTTTGACATGATACTGTAAGTGAAGGGTTAAAGTAATAGAGAGTGTTCATTGCAGGAAGCTGTGAAATATGGTATAACCAGACTGTCTTATATTTGTATTATCTATGAAAATCAATTATATCAATCTGAACATGTCTGTTAAAGTATGGTTTCTACATATAATCACTATACTCAAGTAATATCAAGGAAAATAAGAAAAACTGCCATCAAAATTGCAGTTACTGAGATACTTAACATGAAATATTTCCTGCTGTTAAATTACACCTTCAACTTTTGCCCTGTTATTAAAGGACAAAAAGCAATCTTACAATCTAAAGATGAACCAATTATCTGCTATTAACAGACAAATTGCTAGTGGAATCAAGTGCCAGACTTTCTACTTAAATAATTTCTTATATTTGTGTTGGTCTTCATACTGCTATTTTGTCAATGTCTATTTATGTGTGTATCTTATAAAGATAAAATTAGCATCAGTTTTAATGCTTACTGTTACATTTGTGGCATTTTTTCAACTGATGATATATCATAGACAAGTCTTTGTGTATCTTATATACTTTAAATATTTCATATTTTAACTAATTGGATGTATACATACATTTTGTATTGTATTTATAATACTGTGCATTGGTAATGATGACTTTCAATACATTTGTATATAAACCTGATGTAACAGTATCATGCCATTCTTGTTCCAGCATAGACAATTCAGAGACTGGTTTGTACTTTATATGCTTCGATATATAGACAGGAGAACTATAAATCACAGTACACTAAGTCAGTGACTGTGATCTCAGATTTCTTCATTATAACTGCCTGCTCATATATCTATGGGACGGCAATAAAAACATGAATATAGATGACTTATGGTCATAGGGAGAATAATAATAAATGATTTATGTTTGATATTATTTCTCAGTTATTATTTGTTATACAGTATGGGATGGCTGGCTGGGATATTGAGATTCCCACACAGACAATAACAAACAATATTAGTACACTCAAGTTACTGCTAATATACTTACTAGCAGCAATAATCACTAGCCTTACCCTTAAACTGCTGAAATCATAAAATGGATCTGACCTGTTTTAAATTTGGAACAGTCCATTCTAAGTTTTAGGGATTTTCAATAATAAAATATAAAAAGTTTTGCTACCAACAGTATAGAGCCTGGTCAGACTGCACAGATGCGCTAGCTTATATGGCTCTATACTGTCACCTTTGGTTCAAGCAGGTTAAAGGTTACTCCACCAGTACAATGCCAGGTTGACAAGCAAATCCATGCCGTCTGACCAGGTTCTCTAATGATGACTTTTCAATCACTTTATTTTGAAATTTAAGTTTCTTAAACATGTAACAGATAGTTCCCAATTCAAAGTTGAAACATTTTAATTTATGAGTACAGCCTGGTAAGGATCTGGAACATACCTGTAAATTAATAGGGGAGAAAATATGTGATCAAACTAGGAGCTCAGTACGGAGACCTGCTTAACAGTATTCTGTAAGTCTCTGGTTCAAATCCTTTGTCAGATTGCTCAACTTGTACATAATGTAATAGATATAGTTCTATATTTAACTAGACCTATCACTGAAGGTAATTAATACCCCCATCAGCAACTTTGACTTTTAGAAAAATAAATGGTCTGAAGAAAAATATGAACTCAACCTATAGTAAATGAAGTATCAACTGTGCACAAAAAATTATTTCAATTAATTGCAATACCAACCGTGGTCCTTATATAAGCTTGTTTTACACCAAGTTTGATTACAATATCTCATTCCTAACTCTATTTATTGTCCAGAAACCATTTTTCTATTTTTAGTAATGGTAACCTTGATCCCAGGGGGTCCAAATGCAATACAAATTAGGGTCTCCACATAAGGTTGCTTAATTTAACCAAATTTGATCACAATACCTCATTCCAAACTCTAGTTATCTTCGGGAAACCATGATGTGGACCGATTGACGGACAGACAGACCAACAAGCTGACTCTTATATACCCCCCTAAACTTTGTTTGTGGGAGTATAATAACAAATATAACATTTCTGTGTTATAACTAGAACAGTGTAAATAATTTAACCTACCATCTTTATAATCAGACCAGTAAAATGGCACTCTTCTCTTCAGGTCATCAATTATCCCTGTCATGAATTTACAGCACTTTTTCTCCTGTTCATATAAAATAAAACATGATTTATATTAGCATGTAGCATGTGTTTCATGTTAAATTCAATCAATTAACTTCTGAGAATTCTATCAGTGTAAGAATGATTTTTTTTTGGTTAAGATGCAACTAAAAAAGTTTTCTTTAAAAAGTACAATAAGGCAGAATTAATATCCCTGCAATTTCAAATCAATTTGTGTTTATGACATCAAGCAGAGAACTTAACACTGTGTTCATTCCTTCTCAATTTTGTTTTGTTTTGGTTGGGTTTTACATCTCACTACCACAGTAGAGGTCATATAGCTACTTTCCAGGTTTATGGTGGTGGACCTCAGGAGTACTCAAATGGTAAACAATTATCATCCATGTCACAATACTCAAAAGTAAATAAATGAAATTTTACTGCTCCTTGTGCATCACAAATAAGCTTAAATCCAAATAATGAAATTCTATTGAGAGTAAAGAGAGTGACATGAATTTTATGTCACAAAACTTTTAATATAACAATTTATATCATAAACTTGACCATGCCTAGATAAACAATCAACATGACAATAGTTTGCTGTAAGGAAATTATGTTAAAATTTCTTGAATTTTGAAAATTAAGTGATCAATGCAAGAAGCGCCGCAATCCGACGAAAACCAATTTTTCAACGACCAAGTTTTGATGTGACAGCAATCAATAAGTCAAAGTGCAATGAAGTTATTGAGTAGAAGCTGAAAATTCTATTGTAAGCTAATGACCTTGAACTTGTTCCAAGATATCTAAGTGGCAATCCAAAGCTGCCACTCAGCAAGTTTGGTGTCAAAAGGTGAAAAACTAAATACATTAACCTTGATCACAGACACCTGGGTAGCAATCCCAAGCTGCCTCTTGATATTAGCTACCCATTCATCAAGTTTGGTGTCAATAGGCCAAAGCAAACTAAAGTTATTGAGCAGAAACTGAATTTCTATTTTTAGTAACAGTGACCTTGACCTTGATCACAGACACCTGGGTAGCAATCCCAAGCTGCCTCTTGATATAAGCCACCCGTACACCAAGTTTGGAGTCAATAGGCCAAAGCAAACTCAAGTTATTGAGCAAAAAACTGAATTTCTATTTTTAGTAATAGTGACCTTGACCTTGATCACAGACACCTGTGTAGCAATCCCAAGCTGCCTCTTGATATAAGCTATCCATACACCAAGTTTGGTGTCAATAGGCCAAAGCAAACTCAAGTTATTGAGCGGAAATGGAATTTCTATTTTTAGTAACAGTGACCTTGACCTTGATCACATACACCTGGGTAGCAATCCCAAGCAGCCTCTTGATATAAGCTATCCATACACCAAGTTTGGTGTCAATAGGCCAAAGCAAACTCAAGTTATTGAGCGGAAACTGAATTTCTATTTTTAGTAACAGTGACCTTGACCTTGATCACAGACACCTGGGTAGCAATCCCAAGCTGCCTCTTGATATAAGCTATCCATACACCAAGTTTGATGTCAATAGGCCAAAGCAAACTCAAGTTATTGAGCGGAAACTGAATTTCTATTTTTAGTAACAGTGACCTTGACCTTGGGATAGATTTTTAAATTGATCATTATGTAATATTCCAACTGTTTTGAAGGAGCTGTATGTAGAACAACAACATGACAATAGTTTGCTGTTAGATAAAACAATAGACAACATATAATTAGAGACTGAGATAATTAAAGTATCAATTCTATTATCAACTACTTCAAAGCAAGTCTGTTACATCAAACAAGTAAAAGTCAATAAATCAAATTAATTTCATTGCTTTCCCCAATTTATTAAAGTGTTGCATTATGGAATAAAGAATAGATAAAGAATTTCAACTCCTGAAAAGAGGCCATTTGAATTGGTGCCAAAATGAGATAGAAAAAAATACCCCAACAACATATTGTTTTAAGTTTAACAAATTTCAAAAAGTGATAGTATTTACATAATAAGTGCTTCCAGCTAAATATTGATAGCAGTAAAAACTAGTTAATTATCTTTGATGTTTCCACAATTTAAACTGTTTGATGTTTTCACTTATATTGTACTTAATATTGGACAACTTTATAGATGCTTAAGATAAAAGTTCTAAAAAAACCAAAATGATTGTAATGTGCTTCCAGCAACACATGATAGTGCTTTAACTGTTTATATCGTACATTCTAACATGCTTCACATAACAGACAGGGTAGTAGAGTGCAATATTTAGAAATAATATGAGCCGCGTGATGACAAAACCAAGTTATGGTTTGGAAGCATATAAAAACACCTCGACCCGGGCCCGGACCACGGCTATAGCATATTTTAAAAGGGGTTTGGTAAGAAACCGGCCTTGGCCGGGACAGGGTTGGAACTTCGAAAAACCCTTTTTTTTGTGGTTTTTTCATGACGCGGCCAATTTTTTCCTTTTCGCTTTAAAACACTGGGATTTTTGATATAGAATTTGACTACATAAAAAAATATTTCTAGCAGGACACTAAGCATGGGAATTGACCAAATATAGTATATTTCTATCAGGCTGTATTACCAGCATAGCTGGATACCCACAGTTAATTAACATGTAATCAAGTAATGTTAATGGTTCGGCCGTGGGTATCTGATGAAGTGTTACTTGGTATATTACAATTTACTTGTATGCATAAATAAGAAAACAAGAATATCATTACAATGACGGACACCTATTAATGTCATTTTGACAAAGCAACAAAAATCGTCATACTGTAAGGAAAAGTAAGCTTTTTTTTTTAGCTTTTGTGACCTTGACCGACCTGAGACCCTGCCTAATTGTAGAGATGGAAAGTACAAGAACACCAAACATTTAAAACATCAGTCAATAAATGAAGGTGCTTATGATAAGAAACAGTAATGAGTAAGGAGAATGGAAGAAAGGGAAATGGGAAGAACTAACTCGGTCCTCCAAAATATTTCAGGCAGCTTAATAATGAAGAACAGATGACATAGAAATGAATTAACAATAATAGTAGAGCATATTCTAGAACCTCTCCCTGGGGCAAGTATATACAGAAATCCTGGATTTATAGGACAATAGAATCTTAAGTTATTCGATGGATTTAAAAAAGGTGGCTGTTTTCATTTACCTTTTCATTGTTAAATGTTGGAGGTTTTTCATCAGCTTGATGCATTCTTTCCATCATAGCATTTGTGTTGTCAGCAAGAACTTTCTTAAAATCTTCTTCTGTGTGACATTCCAGGAGCTGAGTTCTGTGTTCAACATCAGAAAATATCGTAGAAAATGTTCTACCTGTTTCCAAATCATTCTTTGTGCTTTTCTAGAGAAAATAAGACAGGGAAATAATTATTAAATCTGTTATGTCTTGAGTACTTCATCAATAATCATGTTTCTTACTTTAATACATGCTAAAGAAATGGAGAAAGGGGGATAAACGTGGCAGTGTGGCTTAAGTGTCTGCTTCAGAACCTAAAGGGTTGATGGTTACAGATTTTCTATTGTTATGACCATATTTTTCCCAATGAAATAGTTATTAAGCAATGGTCAATACCAGCTTCAAGAACTTGTTTCAGAATCAGGCTCAAATACATATTAATGTGAAATAAGCAAGTTCAAAGGCAATCAACTCCATGGTCTCTGGGTTGAGAGGCAGACATTGTAATCACTTGGCCACTGCTCCCTCAATTCTTATATTTGACATATCTATATCTTATTAATCTATGCTCACAGACAAGGCCCAGCAGAAATACATACCTCCTTGGTTGGTGTAAGGATCAGTATAACAAAGTAAACTTCTTGACTGGATGGTCCGAAGTTAGCAGGATGTCGAAGTCTTGCAATGCCAACATGTCTTGTATTGATAGATGGCACACTTGCACTGAAATATTACAACATTTAATTTCAATTGTTTGTGTGATATAAATTATCACCACATTGTAAACATCCTTAACCCATAACATGCTCCAACTGAAAGTGATAACCCTTTGCCACCAATATATAGCCAGGCTAGCCCGCACATCCATGCAGTATAACACTTTGAAGGACTTCAAGTAAAAGTCCATCATACAAATTTATCCCAGAAAAAGTAGAGTTGGGCACTATCAGGGCTACATCCATATTTCCTTATATGACATCAGTCCTGATTAGTTTTAGTTAGTTTTAGGGTATTCTCAGAGTCTTCATTGCATTTGAGCTTAAATAAAATGTTAACATTAAAATTCTTAAATAAAACTGTGATCTTATATCTGTGTGTAAAGTCATTATGTATAGTAAGGTCAAACATATTTTCTATTTTAAAGTGACATTATGTCCATCCAAGGGTACGTAGTGTGCAAACAGGTGAAAGTCAAAATGAGTTTTCCTTTTGTGATCATTCCTTTCAGTTTTATAGTTAAATTTGCATAGAAGATAAATAACTCACAGGATCCAAGGAAAGTTTTGTAAATTTCTACCGGATTTAACTTGTGATGTTCAATTTTATAAAAGAGTGGGGCAGTCTTTTTATATTTAAGATAGATTTATATTTTATCCTAACAATTTTTCGGTATCAACTGTTGGTCAGTCACCGTTAAAACAGTCAATCTTTTGTAATATATTGTCAATTCAGCTCAACTTGATAATGGAAATATGAGCATTATGTCACTTTTTTACAGTATTACAATATTCCCTTACATTATTTAAATATACCTGGCCAGCCTCAGTTGCAAGCAAAATATTTAACATGCTACTGCAGAATCTACCACATTTTAATTTTGTCAAGCCATTATAAAAATTACTTCTGAAATTTTAATGGGTAATTCAGAATTTATAAGAGCACTGCCTGGTTTAATATCTCAAATATACAGTAAAAACAACAACAGTGCACCTTTCTCAACTAGTACAAAAACCACATGCTCCAGTATAATTATAGATTCAAGTTGTCAAGATATTTCTAAGCATTCACTTCACTTATTTCTCTCTCTACGGGAAGTTTCTGTAAATAAATCAAAGTGAGTTGTTGATAATTTATAGAAAAAATTGGAACGTCTATTTTGGGTTCCTAGAATTGATATCTGAAGTTGTTAATCAGTTCTAGTTGCGAATTATCAGAAATCAAGTGCCAAAAATACAGTAAGATACATTTGTACCACATGGTATCACAGGAGGTTGATTTTTTTTCTGGTTCCTTTGCTAAAAACTATTTCTCTGAAACTTCTGATAACAACAAAAACAGTAAACTCAAAATTAAGTGCTTAAATTTTTTTTATTTATACAACAACTTGCTTACACTTTCATAAATTTTCTAATTTCACAAAGGGAAATAATTCAGTAAAAATCCATGCCAGCAACATGGATCTGGGTGAACAGCATAAAGTTACCATCCTCAATAATGCATGAAGCTTTTAGTAAATATACCTACAGAGCTAAATACGAAAGAACTTGCTTGAAACATTCATATAGCAGTAAGCTCGACTTTTCTCGGTGCTTGATAGTAAAACAAGAGCTCAATAATGTAGTTCAAAAGTCAAATCTCATATTAGAGGTATGGGCTTGGGCAGTGACCTTACAAGCTCTCAAAAAAGTGTGTAATTTCAACTTTCAAGCAAAAACTTAATCAAAATATGACACCGATACCTGGTTGAGTTCAATAGCTTTCTCTACTCTTTGAATGTTGGCATTAAAACTTAAGCAAGCATTTTCTTAGCTTCTGGGCTTCAAACTTCAGATTTATTGACTTAAGTCATTGACCTACAATTCTGACCAGGAATATATACATGTATTTGTTAGTTTTGAGTACTACATTTGAAAATTAATCCTTCACAACATAATTGAGCCGCATCACGACAAAACCATCATAGTGCGTTTGCGACCAGCATGGATCCAGACCAGCCTGCGCATCCGCTGTTCGCTTACCAACTCTATTACAAGTAGAGAAACTGACAGCGAACAGCATGGATCCTGATCAGACTGCGCAGATGTGCAGACTGGTCTGGATCCATGCTGGTTGCAAATGCACTATGTTGGTTTTGTTGTGACGCGGCTCATATATGTATTACATAGACAATGGTACAAGTAGGGAAGCAAGTAGTGTCGACATCTTCTATCACTCTATAATGTAGAAGCAACCATTTTCAGTAAATACATCTATCTGCCACAGTAACAGTTTCTAACAAATTCCATTCATACCAAACATTAATCTTTGACATCTTCTTTCTATCTTTTTTGGCATCCAATTAAGATTTTTTTCAAAACTTTGTGTTTTTTACCTGTACTACTTGAATTGAAATGAAATAAGCATGATATTGTATTGAATGAAACTATTATCTATAGATATGCAGACTGTTCTGGCTCTATACTGGTGGCAATCACTTTCAGCTCCAGCAGGGCATGACAATGATATTTGACAATATAAAACAAAAAAAAACTACATAAATCATGTCAGAAATATATCAGGGGATATATTTCTTCTTTAATGTTCAATTGGATCCATAAGAAATAACATTGAACATTACACAAATAAAACATTTCCTCAAATAATATCCCATGATCTTGCCAAAGTAAAAATCTAAATTCAATTTCACAAAAAGGTTCATTATTCCAGAAAATATCTGAAATATGACATTGATTCAATATAATATTCTATTCTCTCCTAGCTCCGGCAGAAACATGTCTGTTGAAATTCAATTGTCTAAATAGATAAACTGATAAACCAGAAGAAATCAAATTGTCTAAGACAAATAAATTGATTTAGATTGCTAAATACTGGTGAATCATAGGGATAATACATTAAACAGAGGGTACCAGGCTTGAAGTCAAATCATTACATTTTCGTTACCTTTACCTGCTAAATTTCTTAAATGACCTTGTCCTGTATCCATGTTTGGCAACTGGGACCATCATCAATTTTCAGGATATTAACATGAAAATTCAAAGTCTGCCAACAATGAAGAGCCTGGTCGGACTGGACGGAATGTTAGGCTATCTGCCCAGTTTGACCCGGCCTCAATCTGTAGACTATACTGGAAGCTATGGCTTATCACTTATTGTTTGCTAATTAGGCTAAATCCCTTCACATCTGAACAGACTCTACATGTACACTGTCGACTGATCAACATTAAATTTTCGTCATGATCTCCCAAAACTTGAAAATGGACAGTCCCAAGCTGGGGAGCTGGGCAAGTTTATTTAAGAAATTCAGCAGGTAAAAATATCATACACATTACACATTTGTATTTGAAACAAAAACCGTTGATGTCAGAATCAATTCTTCAGCAGTTTGAATTAAATGAACAAAAAATTATACAGGGAAATGTTGAAATGCTGCAGAAGCAAATATTTTCCTGCTATCATAAATTTTCCACAACAAAAATAAAGCATTTTTCCAGATCATTAACTATGTTAATGCAACAATGCATTTGAAAATAACAACAAATTGATGCACCCATTCACTTTTAACTTAACAGGTAATTTTCTTTATTGTCAGTGAAACATTGTAACACCATACATTCTCTAATAAAAGTCTCTACCCTAATAACAGCACCCCCTTCTTTGATGACAAAAAAGATGATTGTGTAGCGGTTTATTATAAATCCAAGGAAATTAGGATTTTTTTTTTTTCAATTACTATAATTCAGCAAAAACTTACACAAAAACAGTTAACATACTTATAATTTTGATGATATTTATCATCTTTTGTACTTTAATTAATTCCCTTTTGGAAAATGTATCGCATCCCTAGAAAATTTACAGTAGGTTAGTGTTTTTACAATGTTTTTTTTTATGGCATATTTCTCCACTGTTAATAATTGAGACAGATGCACAAATTGTAAGTGAACTAATTAAAAGAACTTACATTGCACATATCCAACTCTGGTCATAGTCAAAGCCGCCACCTTCTGATATACTGGTACACTGTAAGGTTCGAGTCAATTGATGTACTGAAAATATATAACATCTTAAACTGAAATAAACGGTAAAGTTCCGGTCAAATTATGTACTGAAAATATAAAATATCTTTTACTATAAAATTATAGGTCAACGGATGTACGGTGTAAAAATACATAGAAAATATTGCATGAATGTACTATTTTTTAATGGGTTGTATCACTGGAGTTCATTGTGTAAAGTTGTATTCTAACAAACCCGTAGGGTGATAGGGAATACAATTTTATGTAATCAACAAGAGCCATACAATACATTAGAATAGCACGTTCACCTAATTTTCCTTTATCATATACCTTCTGTAAAATATGTAACATAAATTTGAATGAAATAAAATGAAATATTTACTTCCCTTTGATAGACTTCGCACCTTTTAATTGTTATTATTTTTATGACATATGTCTGAATATGCCAGACATCATGCAGGGCACAAAATTCTACCTAACATTTACAAGTTATAGATTTTGAAACAAAAACACAATCCAAACTAAAATTACAGAAGTCTCATTTCATTTACCATTTTTTGACAGACCTTGATGTTCTGCATGATCCAGAAACATGTAAATGTACGAATGCAATAAACATATTAAAGCAGTCCATCATTCTATTTGATATCAATATACATGTATATCATAACTAGTTCAAACTACTGAATACAATGTTTTGAATATGGAAACGGTATTTCTGCAGCCAAAAATGAATACATTTTCACAAAAAAACTTAAAGGTATATAATAAAATATATTATATTATAATAATCCAGGCAACGAATGTTCTGAAAATAAAAAATATTGTATACTGAAAGTAACATAAGACTAGAATATTTTATTATTTGTTGGGTAAATTCAAGAAATACAAACACAGATGACTTTGTCTCCCCAACACTTATAGAGGTATATTGCAGACTTTCCAGCTTTCCTGATGGTGGTAAGTCTAAGGTCAGGTGCCCATTTTGGCACAACACAAGATTGCATTTGGTGATTTCTTGCCTTGTGCAATCCTGGTATAGCAAAATACATCAATCTCTGGTCAATTGAAGATCTTGATATTGAGTTTCTAAAAATAGGTTCCTGTGTTCCTTACACAATTTGTACAATTTATAACTTGTAATTTATCATGTATAAAAAATGTTTATAAATAAGATACTGTTTTCTTAATTCAAGACCCTCTTATTACTCTTTAATGCTGGTTTTAAATAATTACCAGCCAATATGATATACTAGAAAACATTCTTAAATGATGATGATTGCTTTAAATATGATTCTTCTTTAAAATAAAAGAATAAAAAACCTAACAACAATGGACAGAAGTAAATTATATAAAGAATCTGGAAAAAAACAGGGACACTTCTGCAAAAAGTGTTGAAATATTAAAATCCTGTCAACATGTGAATAGAATTTAATGATGATCATTTTGTGAAGGTTTGACTGTAATTGCTTTATAAATGTATCAGGATTTGAGAATTGTTTGTGCCCAGCCACCCACACAACTACATTCACCATTTCTAATAACTGGAGTTTTTAATTTGACAACTTGGTTAAAAAGCTACATTATAAAGTACATTCAAAACAAGTATATTCTGCAGTCTTTCGTTTAAATTTAATGCAGTTAATAACTGGTATACGACAAGTTAATTGTACAACAATTGCTTGATGTCTAAAATAACCCTGAAACAGCAGGAGTGGGCAATTACTGCATTACTTAATGACAAACTTCAAACAGATCTTGCCAAATATGGAAGCACCAAAACAGTTGTATTTCCTGTTCCAAATGAATCTGATTTAGAACAAACAAATACATAATTGAACTTAGACATATTCTAATAACACCAATAACAATTTTTTTTAGAAATACTTTAAGCTGAATTTAGATTCAGGACTATTTTAGAGCCATAAATAGAATAATACTGCAGAACCATAAATAAAATAATCAATATAAAAATCAAATCAACATGTACAACGTGCTCTGTTAGTCTATGTGCTTGACAGTAGAATAAGACCAAGGTCTTAGAAAAATTTAAGTCACAAAAGGGGGATAATTTAATTCAATGACAGAGTTATGTACCCAAACCTAGAAATGACTCTGGTGGTCAATAAAAGTACTGAGGTTCAGATGGGCTGGCTATTTATTACTTTATGTTTCACCACATTACATATTGTTAGAATGGATTTTTTAAAAACAATGCTATCGGTCTGAGTATATTAAGGACAGTTAATTTAGTCTGTACTGTTATATGGAAATGGAAATGAAAAAGAAAGTGGGAAATTATTGTGAACTTGGCACGAGTATGATCATTTTAATGACCAGTGCCATAATTTCTTAGAAAAAGTTATCACTTCAGATGGTACATACCTGTGCTTTGAAAAGCTAAAATTTATTAAAAGATTTCTGTTTGCACATATATGTTTGTATATGTATTTTAAAACATAGAATAATAAATATGTGAATATATCGATGACATCTTGATCATTTTTTGTTTATTTCTTTTGCATTTTTATAAAATAAACAAACATAGTCTTACAAAAATATATAAACTTACTTTCTCCTAAAAAACAAGACTGGCACAAATTCCTGTATTGTAATATGAACTTGTAATATGAACTGTAACTACAACTAAGGATTGGATCACACCTTTTCAAGTAAGTTTATGAAAAACTTAAGAGTTAAGTCTACATGACTGTAAAAGACTAAGATGTAGAACTATTAAAATATACCCACAAACAATAGCCACTCTTTAAAATGCCCTCTACCCACTCATGTTTCTAATGGGCGCTCCTGGCAATTTACAATTCATAATAAAGAAACCTCCCTGCAGCTGTTACCTCCCCTGATCAGTACAGGGTGACAAAACTAGTGAGAGAGGTTTGCTGGAAAAAACTGACAGTTAAACATACAGTAATATCGGTAATATGCAAAGTCGCTCTTGAAAAGTTACAAATGCATATGCTGAAACGTTACATATGATGAGGTTTTCAGCAGATTGCCTTGGTAATGACAAACAAAGCAAACCTCACAAATAACAACAATGGACAGACAACACAAGAAAATCGCCAGCCCCCCAATTTTCGTCTTTTAAAAGTATTTTCTGTTTAGTAAATGTTTGTGGAAAAAAGTATAAATTAATAATGATCTATATCTAACTCTATACACAGCCAGCTGATGCATCCAAACTAATTGATGTTTAAAGCATCATGTATAAATGTCATACATGTTTTATTTTTATACTAAAACACATTATACAGAAATATTGGCAATAAATAAAATAGCTCACAAAACTCGTGTATCTCAAATTCTGAAAATGACAAAAAAATACTTTTTCTTTTTAAACAAGATAATATTGGAGTGTTTAAAAATTCAAAAACTAAACTTGTATGGTCTATATAGTTTAAACTGGGTCAAAAGGTTATTCAACCATTTTGTAAAAAGTAACATCAATACAGATTAGGAGATTATAAAAATCATATATAATATTATAGGTAATCAATCATACCAATAAATGTAATATACCCTGTAATACAAGGCATATTAGGACAGCAAGATTAATATTCACCCTGAACCTGTTGAAACTGAAATTAATTGTCCTTTGCTACCTGAGTATAGAATCAGGCAAACCTGCACATCAAAGTAATCTTATCTTGATGAACTGGGTCTATACTGATTGAACATAGGTATAGTCTGATTTTATTGACCTGTCAATTATGAATACATTATAGCACTCATTTACATATTCGATCCCACTTCGGTTTTTTCCATTTATTTTACGAGAATTAATATGGAGTGTATCACTTACGTTTGGAAAACTCTCACTAGATTTTTTTTTAATGTAGGTTCTTGTAACATCCGCAATAGCACAGTCGGTTAAGTGATTACCTAATGCATGAGGGGTCCCAGGTTCGATCCCCTTTTTTGACATTCTTTTTAAACTTATTCTTTCTTTATTTTTAAGTATATTTTAAAGAAAATGGTCAAGCGCTTGCAATTTGTCTACACGGATATGAACCAACTAAGAAACACTGAATTGCCACATTTTATATTGTATAATTACATTTATTGATTTTAATCGGAATGAATTTTCAGTATTAATTCTTAAATTTTGTTATATACAAATGTAAAGTATTTACAAAAAGGTGCAAAACATATTAAAAACGGAACAACCATAACTTAAAAAACATGTTGAAAATAGTTATGAATAAAAAAAATACTGGACATACTCTGTCTCGATCCTACAACACGTTGAACATTCAGATAAAATATACCAGTGGTTTACCCTATTGCACTATAACGGTCAGTGTAACTATATAATTTAAAATAACAAGAATTTAATCACATCTTACTGCGCACATATCACGGAATTTACCGAATATTTATCGAATATTAATATATTCTGTGCATTGACCGTATAATCAGTATGGAATTGACAGGTTGATAAAATCAAACAATATATTCTGTTTGAATCTGGGTTTATACTGATGGGACCTGGGTCTATACTGCTGGGGGCCTGGATATATACTGTTATGCCTTCAGGACCTGGGTCTAGACAGTTATGGCTTGGGGACCTGGGTCTATACTGTTGGGACCTGGGTCATTACTGTTAGGACTGGGGTTGTACTGTTGGGACCTGGGTCTATACTGTTGGGACCTGGGTCATTACTGTTAGGACCTGGGGTTGAACTGTTGGGACCTGGGTCTATACTGTTGGGACCTGGGTCATTACTGTTAGGACCTGGGGTTGAACTGTTGGGACCTGGGTCTATACTGTTGTGACCTGGGTCATTACTGTTAGGACCTGGGGTTGTACTGTTATGACCTGGGTGTATACTGTTGTGACCTGGGGTTACACTGTTGGGACTCATAAAACAAAAAAAGCAAGAAATATTCATTAGAAAAAAAAGAAGGTTAAGGGTAGATGGCACAAAAACAAGATGGCCATTATGGATGTAAATGTGTTCTGGTGAGCTGAAAGAGAAACTGTTTCAGCAAATAGGCTCTTGCCTGAAGCCAACGGTAAAGACATCAAGACAAATCTACCTGGACATTTTGATCAAATCTACGGTAAAGCTATAATTATGTCCAGATTACAAACAACCAGATTATACATTAACCTTCAACTGGCCATGACTGTTTATGCCCTTGAAAATTTATTTAAAAACAAACCTATCAAATGTCTTCTATAACCCACTGAGAACAATAATCAAGTGTCAAAAGAATCTATTTCAACCTAACTTTACACTCACCTTTGACACTGGTTATAAATTCGGCTCATGGGTTGTTCTTTTTATTAGTGCTTTACATGATAGCTGTTCTTAATGTATATATTTCATACAAGTAAAATGTAAAATTTTGTTGAAACATTAAATTTGCACTCAAAGTAATTGTTAAAACTTCAGCCTCCACACTCAAATGCACAAACATCTGAACAAAATTTTCTGATTTATAACTTCATTTTGTTGCAGCTTATCAAATGATGCATTTTATACACAAACCATTATTACATATAATAAATTCATAGAAACTACACGAAAATGTTCTATTTACAACCAATAAAAGAACACCTTAATAGATATGCATCAAATGAAAATGTGCAGTTATTTTGTAAAATCAAACACAATAACATTGCACTCAGGTTTTTATTGGTAACACTTAAAATGTTTAAGAATTATCCAGACTGAACTTAAAATTTAAAAGAATATCTGTTATAAACCTCGACATGAACATTTTCAAGGTCACTATGGTTTCATAATTAAAGTAACAATTTATGATTTAAAGTGCCATTATGCTCATATTTTCATAGTCAAGTTGAGCTGAATTGACTTTATATTTCAAAAGATTGACTGTTTAAATAGTGTTTGACAAACAGTTGATATTAGAAAACGTTCAGGATAAAATTATAAATCTGCCTAAAATATAAAAAGACTGCCCCACTCTTTTTATAAACTGAGCGTTAGAGGTAAATTCTAATAAATATTTACAAAATATTTATTTGGATCTGTGGATTATTTATTGTTTATGGGAAGTAAATTATTAAATTAAAAGGAATTATGGCAAAATGAAAACTTATTTTGATACTCGCCTGTTTACTCACTCTATAATAATGTCATAATGTCACTTGAGGGATTCATTTTTTTTTAAACTTCTGAAGCATTACTTCAAGGTCCAAGAGTGATCTTGAGAAATTTTACATATATATAATTATATCATCACAAGGTGACAGAAACATTGTAAGTTTCAAACAAGTTTCTCCTTCTTGCAATATATTACTGTTCACTAAGTGTTCAGGTCATTTTTACAAACAATATACAAATGTTTAAGCTTAACCTTTTCATATTGGACTTGGTCAATATTGAGATTCCTGGAAAGATTGTCTTTTTCGGTAAATGAAAAGTATCAAGTCTGTTTTTAATACAATAGTTTTTAATGGTTGAGAAAATCTTGACTATATGTAGGCTTCAGCAAGCAACTGTGTAGAACAGCCACCCTTCCTTAGACTAAATAGATAGATTCCTCACATTGCTATGTGAATCTTAAGTCCCTTTCGGGATTTGAACTCAAAGTAGTGTGGGGCAAGTGAATCAAAGCAAACTGATTCCACAAGACTAAGGACAACTCTTGGTACTGTTCAACAAAAACTATCATTGCCGCTGGTAACAGTTTACTGGTACTATACCTACCATTGTCATGAGTAAACAGTGCAGACCGAGCCTGGTCAAAGGCAACTTTACTTTCCCCAGAATCAAGCAACTTATGTAGAATCTCATCAATGATGGCGTCCAAGCTGACCTGGGTCAGATCCAGTAATAAAACTGTGTTATTGAGAAACTTCTTTATGTCCATGTGGGCCCGAACCTCCATTGTGAAATCTTTCAATGGTACTTTCTGCAATTTAAAAAGCTTGCAATGACATTTAAGTGAAACCATTTACATAACTTCAACTTTTTCTTAAGGAGGCCATGGAAATAAGACGTCATAAATTAAAACCACAAGAAGTGTTTGTTATTTGACCTGTATTGGAATTTGATCTGCTGGGAGATAATGGGGCATGTGATTTAAATGTTGTTACTAAAGCCACTCTACCATGCAACAACACAGATACAATAGTCTGAAGACTTGGTAAAAAACAAGTAGAGTAAATCGTAAATACATTAAAAACATGTCATTATATATTATATGTACATGCATACCAAAATTTTAAGATTTTATTCAAATTTTCAGTTCAAGGCACATATTACAAGGACCCCATATCAAAATGTTCAAAGGAAGGTCATTAAAAATGTTAATATATGTAAAATTTAGTATCTATTTAAAAGTTATCATATTACAATTATTATACAGCTGATTTTCAGCTGTTTTCATTGAGGCCAGACTAATGCAGAATTATATGTGGTTGACGTCCCTTGACACGATCAAATTCAAATACAGTATATGTACGAGGGGTTATCTAAAAATTTGTGGACTTTTTAAATATCTCTTGAACGTCAACGTGTATTGTAATAAAAATTTATCAGCATACATTGTGGAATATTATCAACACATTTTGAAAGGAACATTTAAATGTGTCAATAAATAATGATTTTATATTGCTTTTAAGTAAGCACATACACGGCACCCGGCGCACGGTAGAAAAGCGCAGTAAGTCATCGTATATTTCTTGCTAAAAAACTAAAAAATTAACGTAGAAAACCCGCTCAACATCGCATGTTTCTTCTATGATGTCATTTAAGTTATTCTTTAAAATAATGGACGTCATTTCCGTTTATTTTTGTTGATATCGCTAGAAACGCCTGACGCCGTAATTGTTAACAACGGGAAAATGACGGACACGCGGTAATTAGAAAACCGCACGATCATAAACAAACATAATTTTTTGTTGTAATTTGGAAATGACACCTACAAAAACATTTAATCAAAATCAGCAGATGAATAGACAAAAGAAAATTTCACGATAATTAGTGTTAAAGTGGCATAAAAATTTATTGATGGTCATTACTTTGAGAAGCAGTAACCGTCATTGACTGGTAACGTTGTGACACAAGTTGTACGTTGATATTATGACGTTGACGTCAATAACTTTTTGGAGTGCGCCGCTGTCGCCGACATGTGTTTATGTAAAATTAAATATTGTTGTAATGTAAGAAGCTACTCACATGAATTTTTCTGTGTTTATTTGTTATTTATTCTTCTAAGCAGTGTAAGAATTTCAAATTAATATCTCAAATATATTTTACGCAACAAAGAAAGTCCACGAATTTTTGGATAACCCCTCGTATATGCATTCACAAAGAAGTTATTTAATGACTATATTTGTATCTTTTGTTGTTTTTACAACAAGTTTATATGTAATTACTTCAGATTCTTCAGGAAACAATACCATTTACTGCTTCTACATAGAAATATAAATCTTACTGACTTTATTTTATGTAACAAGTTGTATGTAAAAAATCACCCAACAAGATGTATGTGGAAATCTACAGGACAACATAAATGCCCCGGTCTGTTGACATTTATTTTAATTTATGTAATAAAGTAATTGATATAACCAAAAAACTTTTAATTTTTTACCAAGTTCTACTGGTACTTTAAATTAAATGTAAAACAGTATAACATATTATTGTAAATGTTCGAAACGAAGATTTTAGTTTACTAAATCAATTTCTGTAATAAATAAAATTCCTTTTACCCATCAAAATGTCAATGTTTTATATTTTGAGCTAAAATTAAGGAGTTGCATAAGCATAAAAACCTTACAATATGCAAACTTGCAATTTAACGCCAGCTGCAATAAATTTAACAACAATTTTTTTTAACATCTTATTTACATCTCTATAATTATATACTGATTTACTCATAAAATTGTCACTTAAAGTAGAAGCTCATTTATTACATTACACAAGTTATATAAATGTCTACCCTTTTCTTGTAATACAAAACTAAACGGATGTTGTCCAGGCTTCCCTATTGTTATCATGAATAAATTTGTATAAATTATAAAATTGATACTATCTTATTTAATATGACTCTATGCAAAAAACATATCCAAATGGAAAAATTCAACTTTTTTTTTTTTTTGCAAAATTTGTTTTGTATGTAAACAACAAAAATATAAATATTGTGTGGATATAAATGTATAATTCATAATAATAACTTTATATTATATATATATATTTTATTCATTTTATTATATATATTTATTCATCACTTTACTAAAATATGCATAATATCAAATGGCCGATAATTGGATCAATGCAAAGTCACAAATTTTTCTTTTATTATCCTTATCGGGATTATTTTGATTTCCTACTTAATTATAAATTACAGATTTTTCATTTATTTCAAACAAGATTTATCTCCCTTTAGCAATTTGCCATAAGGGTACAGATATGTAAATAAAATGGCTCAATACCCATGCTTTCTGATAGTTAGTATGATATGCTAAGATATCTGTTTTATATATGTAGATTTTATGTCTGTCAAGTCATTCAACAGCAGGTTTAGAATTAAGGGCCTCAGGCATGTAATTACAAATTATCGAGATCATTTAGTGATAATGTCAATGAAGGTGTTTCTTTAATTGATCATTTGAAAAAAAAAGAACATGATTTGCTTCTCATGGTGTTGATATACCAACAAGTTCAAGTCTCTATTAGGGCAGTGATGGCTTTCAGTGCTTAAAGTATGGACCTCTTAACCTAGGGATGATAGGTTCAAGCCCCACTGGGGTTACAACAATAGTTCCTAATGTAAAACCAGTATTGCCTAGTTGGTTCAAAAAATGCTATAAATTAATCTTCACAATCAAACTTTAATAAATAATGATTAATTTTGGAGAATCTTTTACAAGAACAAAGTACTGAATCAATCTAACAATAACAAAGTACTAAATCATTTACTAGAGAAATAGAGGCAATAAAATGTTACCAGATCACATACAATATTGGTAATTAAACTGGACAGTTGGAAAATGTCATCAGATGTTTAAGAAATGCAAAACCATCTGTATTATTTCAGGGCATCTTGCTTACAAGGCAATATACCAGACGATTAATAATGTATGAGTTCACCTCAAATGAGCTCAACTCCACTCTTGATATTCATGTTATAATAATAATATAAAAGTTGAAAAATTGGTCACTTGTTTTATATTGTAATTTTAAATATCAGGTTAGAGGTATTCACTGATCAATGACCGGTCAGAAACTGTGCTATTCAGAAACTGTAACACTTTATATAACCATGGAGACAATTCTGATTGTTTACATTTAATCAAATTAGAAAATGTTTATCTCACCTCATGCCTGGAGTATATGAGTGTTGTACCTGACTCATCTGAAAAATATCATTAACATTCAAGTTACAAAATAAACATTGGAATTACAACAAAAACATTCCAATACCAAATAAACATTCAAATTATGAAATAAAAGTTCAAATTACAACAAAAACATTCCAATTACAACAAAAACATTTGGAAAGTAAAATGAAAATTCAAATTACAAATAAATTATGTCAAAAATTATTCAAGGCAAAAGTTCATGGTTATCATTTTTTATATTATCATTTCTTTAATACGAAAGATACCAATGTCAATTTTTTCCGTACATTTCATGAAATGACAATTTTTATGATTAAGTTTTGTGTTCTATTTTAATTCAGGAATTCCTAAATAAATTGTATTTATTATAAGGAAGGTAAAGATGCAATTACAAGTAAATGGTTACTATTTTTGCATATGAAAACACCATGGCAAGGCAAAATTAGTATTTTGATTAAAACAGAGTCATTAAAGATGAAATCTTGCATTTTTTTTTTAAGTAACATGTCACAGGGTGAGAAAAATGTGCAGCCTGACCTGGACTCTAACCCTGATGGTCGGAATTTCAACGGCTCTACCAACACTATCGGGCCCCTTACACATCTTCTCCCTTAAAAAGTGAGCAGTTCTAAACCATGTCATTTACATTTGTAACAAAGGCATTACTGGGTATATATAACTTAATGAATACAATTTTCTATTAAATAGTTGAACACGTACCTATAAAGGAGTCGTCAAACTTGACACCACTTATAGTGCTCTTGCTCTCATACATAGAGTTCTTTTTATTGTTTGGATCAAGAAATGTTTTACTGACAGGGGTAGTAGGCAGAGCCCCATCACTCTTGTGTCGTTTTCTCGTGTCTGAACTACTGCTCCCTACTGTCAACATACTATCTAACTTCTGTATGTCACCATTTAAACTGACGTCAGACGGTGACGTTGCACGCTTTGTATACTTTCTTTCATCAGTAATTCCTTCCTCTAAAATGTCACCATTCTGTGAGCTACCTCCTGTATCCGGGGGGCCGATGTAAGGGGGCGGGCCAGACTCCGTTTCCATGGAAAATATTGGATTAGCATGGGAATGTTGGGGGTCATTTTTTGGGGTAATGTTCTTCAGTGCAACTGCATTTTCCTCTTCACCCTTGTCCATTTCAGATGTGATTGACCTGAAAAAATAAAATACAATTTATTAGCTTACATTATTAAGATTTGTCATGACTGTAAGGATCTTCATTCTTTTCTGGAATTATTCTAGTAGCCCTGGCCTGTTGTTCTAAAATACTTCAAAAGAATATTCTTGAAATATATTGGAAGATTAATACTACACCTATATTGATTGATTGTTAAAACTAAATAAATTATAAATTATGTATGTTAATTCAAACATAACCGTGACAAAATAACTTTAATGTATGTTTGATGTAACTGACTAAATGAAAAAGTTAAATAAATTTTTCTTCGTTTCCTTCTTAAATGACCCTGCACTGAATACAGTCCATGCAGATTTTGCCTGTGACCCATGAGCAAAATTACTGTATACTCTTCCACAACTATTTTTATGAACCATTTATGTAATTATATATGGTTATCTCTTATACTTTAAACCTTTAATAATTTATGGCTCTCTAACCATCTAGGAAAATGTTTGCAATCTGGTCAATATCTTCAACTTATCATAATTAACATTTAACCTACTAAATAAAACTTGAATTAGGAATATTAACAGCATTTCAATATCCTAATACAAAATTTGAGCTACAAATTCTATAGAGCCTGGTCAGACTGCATATAATTTTGTTGTTGTTGTTGGGTATTACAATGCACAAACACAGTTTGTGTCATATGGCAACTTTCTAGTTTTACTGGTGGAGGAAGACCTCAGGTGCCCTTCCGTGCATTATTTCAGGCAAAAACAAGTACCTGAGTAGAACCAGCGACTTCCAATAAGCTAGCTGGATACCTTCCTCACATGAAAGTATCTGAAGTTTCTGTCTGGATTCAAACCTACCGTGGCGAGGGGCAAGTGGTTTGAAGTCAACAACCTTAACCACTCTACCACAGACACTCCTATAGGCTGGCTAATGGCTCTATACTGTTGGCAAAGGCTTATCACTTTCTGTTGCAGAAAATTAATGACTATGTTTAAGCTACAAGTATTTTTCAAATTTAAGTCAGTATATAATTATAGGACAGTTTCTTCTATAATATAGGACAGTTTCTACTATAATATAGGACATGTGTTATATTTATGTAGGACAGTTTCTAGCCAAGTTAAGCATACAAAACATGTTCAGAACAGCATGATCATTGTTTACAAATAATTCTAGCCCACAATTCATTTCACAAAGTTCAAAAAATATATTTCATGTTACAGTAATGAAACTGATACAGTTAAATTTATAATAAACCTGAATATAATCACTATCAGATGTTTCCATTTAATTGAACATTTCACTGCATGCTTTATTCTATATTCTTCGATTTGAGGTTATTTCAACAATTACAACTTCAGTTGATCATTAGAAACTCTAAAGACAGAATTTATTTAATATTAAAAAGGCAATTACTCTGTAATAAACTGAATATTAATGTATTCTTTATCTTAAAAGACTAACTATTTTATGTTCTTTTAAATATTAATATCAAAATTAATGAGTATTGAAAAAGAATTTTTCTTCTTATAAACAGAATCAGTTCATCAGTTATAAAACTAGCTAGAACTAGCTAAGATACATTGATGATGAACATTTTCTTCAGATGGTAAACAACTTATTTGTGAAGTTAATAACAACAGGTGTTTAAAATTTAATATAATAAATCAACTGATTCAAGGATAAATGTTCCACTTATTTCTCACAATGTGTTGTGATTGGTAAGACATTTCAAGAAAGAGCAAAGTGTTCCATTTAACTACTATAATTGTGAGAGGTTTTTTAACCAAAGACAAAATGTTACATATTAAAAGTTACACAATTTGACATGATCGACTTTGATACAAAAGGCAAAATGTTCCGATTAATTCTCACAATTTGTAATGATTAGAAAAGCATTTTAACAGATTAGGCAAAATGTTCAATTCCATTTACAGAATTTGCAATGGTAAGGAGTGCTTTTCAACAAAAGGCAAAATGTTACATTTGTCACAAAATTTTTATGATTGGAAAGGCTTTAACAAAGGCCAATACAAGCAATACAAGATTCCATTCTCAAAATTTGTTTTGATTGGGATGACTTTTTACTAAAAGAGCAATATGTTCCATTTAATTTGCACAATTTGTCAGAATTAAAAATATATGTAGAAGGCTTTTAAACAAAGGTCCAAATGCTCCATTTAATTTGCGAAATTTGTTAAATTTTGTTCTGATTGGGAAGACTATTTAACAAATAACAAAATATTTTATATTTCTCAAGCTAGCTTTCCTGCAGCTGAACTATTGTTGACTTTTCAATTTCATCCCGCACATAAAAGATATTATCTAATCTACTTTTATTTTCTTCAGTTACTCCCTGCAATTATTTTCTAGGAATATGGTTAAGTCTATACAACAAATCGATACATATTTAACTAAACATTTTATCTTGCTTTACAGTACTTTCCTCTCAGAATAGGTGTTATACTGTCCCTCAGACTAAATGGTATGAAAAGATGCTTTAAAATGTAGTAATTACATTAAGTTATCAATTGTAACAACTACTGGTGTAAAATTCTACTTAAAATTTGCTTGGCAAGTCTCACTGTGACCTTGACCTAATGACCTTAAAATGTTTAGGGAGGATCTACAGACCATAACAAGTTACATAAACCACAGCTTATTCCTTTTGAAGTTATTGAACAGACAAGGATTTTACATCTAATGTTACTATGAGATTGACCTTTGACCTTATGACCTCAAAAAACAATAAGGGATGTCTACTGTGTTTATGGGCATTGTCCTTACAAAGTGACACAAGAAAAGCATTGATGCAAAGCATCAAAGGGCCTCCAAACAGCAGGTGCAGATGAACTAGTAGATATATGATGACAAGATATTCTTATAAACTTTTCAATGGTTCATTGGGTTTTACCAGAATTGTATATCACTTTTGAATGAACGGACGAAAGACATTGTTCATTATTTATAACTTTGATCGGCATGCTAGAAATTAGAATATTACTTCTTATTTCTTTATGATCGTGGTTATTAATAGCAACGGATATACATGTATACAATCATTTATAATCCATATGTGTAACGCATGATCAACACCATACTTGTGTAATTGTCCCTTATTATGTTATTGCTATTAACGAGGACCCCCTCTTAAGGTATCTGTTCACACTAAGTAACAATATGACACTTGTTATATTACCATGTTGATCATGTTGAGCATAATTGTTTATTATACAATAAATGTAATTTCTATTTTAATAAAAAAAAAATACAGATTTTATGAATATTGTTTTCTTTTCTTTTTTTGTGTGTGTTTTATGCGCTATTTTAATACTGAGTTTTTACCTTTACTACTATTTTAAGAATTCAATTGTCATAATGATCGACGATTATAAGTCAAAACTTAACTGGAAAAAGTCAGTAAATCATGGTTAATCTTTCAATTTATAATATTGTTTATTCTTAAACTATATACATGTACATTTGTATTTTTCTTTATCATTTTTAGCTCGACTTTTCTATGAAAAGGGGAGCTATCCTACTCGCCCCGGCGTCGGCGTTGGCGTCACACCTTGGTTAAGTTTTTCGTACCACCCCACTTTATTTCAGAAGTATTACAAGTATGGCTTTGAAACTTACCATACTTGTTCACCATCATAACCTCCATCTACAGACAAGAGTACATAACTCTGTCAAGGTTTTTGACAGAATTATGGCCCTTTTTTGACTTAGAAAGTGTATTGAGCTTGGTTAAGTTTTTTGTACCACCTCACTTTATTTCAAAACCATTGGAGGTATTGCTTTGAAACTGACCATACTTGTTTACCATCACGACCTTCATCAACAGACAAGAGGACATAACTCTGTCAAGGTTTTTGACAGAATTATGCCCCTTTTTGACTTAGAAAATACATTGAATATGGGTAAAATCCACTTATTGCCTTAACCCTTTGAGATATTGCTTTGAAACTTTTAATGCTATTTCACATCATTACCCCCATCTGTACGCAAGAGAAGGTAACTCTGTCAAGGATTTGTTTTAAAAATTAAGGCCTTTTATCGACTTAGAATCTTGGTTAAGTTTTTAGTACCAGTCCACTTTTTGACTGAACTGTTTGAGATATTAATTTGAAAGTTGGAATACTTGTTTACAATCATGATTCCCAAACATGTCCAGGAGAAGGTAATTCTGTCAAAGATTTTATTTGAATTATGGCCCTTAACTGTCAATGTTTTGTATTATAGGCAAGCACTAAAAAAGTCGAGCGCGCTGTCTTACGGACAGCTCTTGTTTAAATTATCAATCAATTGAATAATTCATAAAATCTGATTTGTAACTTTGAATAATTCCTCGGAATCTTTACTAAACACGAATAACAAATTATATAAAATGTTTTAAAGTTGATAGTGTCATATTAATGCCATAAAAATGTTCATTTTTCTCAATTATTGTACATATTTATTGTTTTTATCTCATATAGATAAAATATAACATGCGATTTGTGTTGTTGGTTTTTTTTTTCGAATTGTATGTTTATGTATAATAATAATCAATCAATTCGAGAGTTGATCTGTGTTTATTAATTATTGTAACCAAACTAAGTGACAAACATTCATTTTGAAAAAAAGCTTATTTATCTGTAAAATATTTGTTCTGTTCTGTAACGATATCTACTCCAAAACCGGGAGAGACCGGACAATAAACGTGTGGTACTATTCGCAGGTCATTAGTAAATCCCGGGAGAGACCGGGAATTACCGATAGGAGTACATCCCTCTATAAATAGATTTTCGGAATATTAAGGTCATCAACTCATCATTCTATTAACAGCTTTCGGAATAACATACCATAATAACCCACTGTGTACTACAAAATGATAAGCAAAAATACCCCGAAGAGTGCGATTTATTGACGGAAAAGGTTATTTCATTTGAAAATGTTTGCATTGCGAAATTCTCCAGTTCGCCATTCATTGTACATATCGCGACTAATTAATAATCAAGCACCCTCATACCGATCGGAATGATCGGCTTTTATTATTGGCAACTATAAAAGGCTCGAGAAGTTGCTGTCGCCCTTTCACAAAATCTCATTTCATTCCAATAGGCGCCGCGCTTCGGCGCGGACGCCAATAAACCACAGCTTATTACTTTTCATCTTATTGATTGGAAATGTGCCACTGTGATCTTTTTAAACTATGCTTTTTATTTTTTAAGTAAGGCTATAAAAACCAAACAAAAATGATTGATAATTAACAGCTTAATGTTAAACATTATCGGCATGACACACCCCATGTTTACAATAACATATTCTTTCAATAGATATACACGTATTAATATTCATAGTACTTGCAAAACCAGTGAGATTATACTTAACAATAATTCAATATTCAGTAAACAAGATGTTTGTGATATAATAGATATTCACATTTCAAAACAAGATAACAAAAACAAGTATTTATTGGTTTCAAGCTGATATGCACTGATTGAAATGATATCAACCGTGTGTTGCTGTATTATTATATACTTTGTGAAGAAGACTTGTAGATTACATATTATTGGTACAGTATGTTACATAGTTTAATTTTAGAAAATTTGGGTTCTTTAAATTTTACCTTGCTGATAAGCCTTTGCCACTATTATACAGCCAGGCCAGCCTGTTTTTTTTGTGAAATCTGACCAGGCTTTATACTGTTGACTCTGCGACTAACCAGCTTAAAATTTTCATAATTATCAATGGACAGTCCATTTAACAAATTCTGCAGGTCAAGGGCCAAGAACAATAAAACCTTACAAGAGCTAGAGAAGTGGGATCCTTGACATTGTGATCTAAATTTACTCTTCACATATGTTTGTAGATAATAAATATGCTATCATTTACATGCAATGTATCTTGTAGCTTCTGTAACTTTAAAAAATTATTCAGGAAACCTTATCAAACTGACCTTCAACTTGACCTTTAAAACAGTAGGTTGCTGATCGACCATACATCAAATACAAACTAAAAATAGCAGCTGAAAATTGAAACTTTCTTAGCAATTAAGACAGAATATATCCCTTGTCCAGAAAAAATGTAACATTGACCTTTGACAATTATGTAGCTAACAAAAAGCAATAAAGGTCTTCTGCTGACAACAACAGCTGTAAAACTATAATAGAGTCTATAGAAGAAAGTCACAATCTCATGTATAATATTCATTAACTTACTATTAGTCACAGCAACCTTTATCTAAGACCTTTAATTATCTAAAAACCAATATGGGTTTGTGTCTTGATCAGATGCTGTAACACTGTATAAAAAAATCTCATCAAGTAACTAATGACTGATATTAAAGGAAAGTAATTTTTAACAGAAGTATTGAGGTTTTGATTCCTAAAACAATAAAGATTTCTATAGAGTACACTTAAAGTATACATCACAATACATTTCATGATGTTCACAGCAAGAGTACACAGCAAGAAAATTTTCTTTTTGTAAGGTCATCTATTTTTGCCTGTGCACTCATAGTATATACCGGTTATATGAAACATTTCTCCATTTGATGCAAGAGGGGAAGTATTTAGCTCCTATTTGAATGTGGATTGTATCACATGAACGTTTTGTATCAATAAAATCAACAAACAGGATCTATCAATTTATCAAATCAAACAGAACAAATATTTCTTGCCCGATCTAGAATAAAATCATGCAGAAATTACAATCAGCAGTCTGGCTGCCAAACCTACTCTCTAACCTAATCATTTAACCAGAGGAAATTGATGAATTAGAAGTGTTGCGTCTTATTTGCATAATTTCTTTGAATGCATACAAGAAATGTCTGCCAAAGCAATATTTTGCTTGTTTTGAAATACAATATAAATGACACAATTAATCATATAAACTTTGTCTGAAAGTTGTAACAAGTTATTACATGGAAAATTTAACAGGTGTATGATTTTAACATCCAAGAGCATGATTTTGCAATTCACAAAATCCACAAATTTGTTACAGAACGTTAATGTTCAGTAAATGTTCCGTGCATGTTTTCATTTGCAGAAATATATCAAAACAGCCAGTTAGTTTCACCTAAGAAAAGGTGTACTTAGAGGGGAGATATTGCCCATACACAAAATAGCACAATATCTCAGCCTGTAGACTAAAATTAATATCCTCTATGTTATTAAAACAAGCATTTTATCAAATTACTAGTGGTATAACTGCCAATAACTGGTGTAGAAATGCTAGGATCTATCATAATTATATACATCATAAGACATCAAATATTTTTCATTTAGCTAACACTTAACCAACATCAAATCATACTTTGCTAGTTAAATTTCAATTTTTGAATGACAGGTAGTATAAACCAATTCCATAGAATTAACCATAAAACAAATTCTGTAAAAAAAACTGTGTTAATTCCTGCAACACCCATTTCCTTTCCTGACCAATCAAATTCTCTTACATTATCATTCATCACAAATACTTCAAAAGTACTAAAACTCATGGTCAGCTACTTTCTATGTAAAAACTAATTGCTGACAAACAAGCAACCCTTTTAGCAACTTGAATAATCATCATGTTTTATCAAAATGCAAAACAAATTGGGTAACAGTGACAGATTGAATACAAACATGCGATGTTCTAATTTCCTGGTACTTAAACAGCCTGTAAAAGGACCATAAATACCCATTAACAACGCTTTTTGTCTACAAAATATCATAACTGCCTCAATTTACTCAGGTATGTAAGTGCAGAAAAGTCAAATAGACTCTACTGTGATTCCTGCAAAACAAGAGCCACCGCCAGGCGGGGGCAACGCTCGACTTTTTACTTTTTCTAAAAGCAACCAAAGAAACGCTTGAACAAATCTTTTCCTTTTTATAAATTTAATCGGTCTGTCTTGTCACATGAGTTTTGTCAAAGTATGAATCCTTTCCATATATATCCCCTTCGAGATAATGAGATAACGAAAAAAAAAAATTTGAACATTTTCAAAACATCAAAGCTTTTGCTTACATAACGTGTTAACATTGTATGATTTACATAGCTAACATGCGTCATTGTGTGTGAGGGGTAAGAATAAATTGATTGATCATGGACAGAATACTTGATATCATCTGAACATTTAGGTACAGTTAGAGAGGTGTACATTGAGAGGTCCTAGTAAATAAGGATTGTTATACTTTTTTGTTCAGTGGAAATCTTCTGTTCACTTTTTTGAGTCAATATTTGGTTTGAGGTGCAAATGATAAGACGTGCCCTGTCTGTGTTAATTTGAACAAAATTGTTTGCCGAGATCTTCTTTATAGCCAAAAAAATGAAAATTTCAATAATTTGACCTTCAAAGTCATCGCCATTTATGAGTGAAGGTCAAAGTCTGTATTGTTATTATAAAGGGCTATCCTTGAAGATTATTTTGTTCAAGTTTGAAGACAATTCATTTAAAAATTACAAAGTTACAGCCAATAAAAGCCAAAAAAATGAAAATTTCAATAATTTGACCATCAAAGTCAAGGTCATTTATGTGTGAAGGTCAAGGTCTATCTGGGTTTTTTTAAAGGGCTATTCTTGAAGATTATTATGTTCAAGTTTGAAGACAATCCATTCTAAAATAACAAAGTTACAGCCAATAATAGCAAAAACAAGCAAAATTTGGACTTTTGACCTAGAAGGTCAAGATCATTTATGGATGAAGGTCAAGGTTAGTGTGGTCTACTGAAAGGTCTTGTCCCAAGGGTTGTTGTGGCTAAGTATGAAGACAATACACCAAGAACTTAAAAAGTTATGATCCAGGTACAGGTTTGCGGACGGCAACAGCAATACCGCCAAGACTATAACAATACCTCTACTTTTTTTTCAACAAAAAATAAGTCGAGCTAAAAATAACCTTCATATATCTGCAAAGGCAACTTTCATATAACTGCAAAATAAATGCAACTTTCATGTAACTGCAAATGCAACTTTAATATAAAAGAAACTGCAGCCGATTCTTCTGATAACATAAATAAATATAACTGGAATTGAAAATATGAAATATCAAAAAAATCAAACTAACTTTAGAAAAACAAAATGCAGTACCTTTAAAGATGACTACTTCACATCCAAATGCTTTCTTACTTCTAATGCTTCACAATTTCAATTAGTTTTGGAATACAGAGTATGACAGGCAGATTTACATCACTTTAGCTAAGTGTCACACTAACAGTTGACATAAAAGGCCAAACATAGGGTAGCTCTCTATCAGGGAATCACACAGATCACTTTGATAAAGATGTAAAATGACATTTAATAATTCCCTGAAGGCCTTTAAGGCCATCTGACATGTAATTTAACACCAACACAATTTTCTTCAAATTCGGAAATATTTATCTAGATTTACAAACAGACAAAGAAAACAGATATGCCAATTAAAATGATTTTATAAAATGTAAAAAGATAGTAAAAAGGAATTTACCATTTAAGTTGGTGAAAACAGCAAAATGAAAATATTGCAGGCTCAGTGCTAATGTTCAGTAACAAAACTAACAATGACTTTACACTAGGTAATACAAACACTCAAGGATATTCCTTATAGGACCAAAATCAAACTCTTGGATATTTCTTTTAGACCATAACCCAATGGGCATTCCCTTTATGCCCTACCAGCACTTAAGATAGTACCTTTTTTTCTAACTGTATTTAACTTGACTTATGATGAGATGTCATGCAAAGCTGATCTTTTTTATATCTTTTAATGTTAAGTAAAATCAAAATGGCAGTCATTAATTTAAAATCTATTCTGATTACTTCATCACCTGGAAAACCTAGTGCATTAAGTACAACTAATGATACCTGAAGTAGTTTGTACCGTTATTTATTTCAACTTTAACATATAGATATGCCTTATCTAAAAGTTGTTTGTTTTCCAGGAGCAATAATTTTGAATAATCAGAATTACAATATAGCCTTTAGAGTACATTTTGTAATCAGTTTCTGTAAAAGAACATTTTATAAACAATACAAATAAAAATATTAACATTCTTCATTTTCAAAGGACAACATAAGACAAAATATGTAATCATTTACAGAATCTATTGTTTCACTAATGTCATTAAGCACAACCAATCCTTTCTAGTGCATTTTCATTTCCTGCCAAGAAAAAAACGTCATAGACAATTTGTTTGTTTGCTAGTGATATGTTGTATTTTATGGTTTCATGAACAGGTAATAATTGTCTGAGATTTATATTTAATGTAAGGTGCAATGGAAAAAACATGTCAGTAATTTACGTTAATCTAATGGCTGGTCATTTTTTAGATTTACATTAATGTGAGGTTTCATGGTTTGATAAAGTGTTACTACCCATACAAGGTTTCGTGAACATGTTAAGTAAATCATTAATTTGCTAGTAAACTATCTTTATGGGTTTTGATGGTGATCTAATACAATCTTGATGGTTTCATTGTATGGTAATGCCAGGGATATAATACTATCTTGATGGGTTTAATGGTCTGGTATGTTAGGGTTCTATCTTAATGTGTTTACTGTATGGTAATGTGATAGATCAAACACTACCTTGATGGGTTTAATGGTCTGGTAATGTCAGGGATCTAATACTATCTTGATGGGTTTCATGGCCTGGTAATGTCAGGGATCTTATACTACCTTGATGGGTTTCATGGCCTGGTAATGTCAGGGATCTTATACTATCTTGATGGGTTTCATGGCCTGGTAATGTCAGGGATCTTATACTACCTTGATGGGTTTCATGGCCTGGTAATGTGAGGGATCTAATACTATCTTGATGGGTTTTACGGGGTCTGGTAATGTCAGGGATCTAATACTATCTTGATGTGTTTTATGGTCTGGTAATGTCAGGGAACTAATACTATCTTGATGGGTTTTATGGTCTGGTAATGTGAGGGATCTAATACTATCTTGATGAGTTTTATGGTCTGGTAATGTGAGGGATCTAATACTATCTTGATGGGTTTCATGGCCTGGTAATGTCAGGGATATAATACTATCTTGATGTGTTTTATGGTCTGGTAATGTCAGGGAACTAATACTATCTTGATGTATTTTATGGTCTGGTAATGTGAGGGATCTAATACTATCTTGATGGGTTTCATGACCTGGTAATGTCAGGCAACTAATACTATCTTCTTTGGTTTCATGGCCTGGTAATGTGAGGGATCTAACACTATCTTGATGTGTTTTATGGTCTGGGTAATGTCAGGGAACTAATACTATCTTCTTTGGTTTCATGGCCTGGTAATGTGAGGGATCTAACACTATCTTGATGTGTTTTATGGTCTGGTAATGTCAGGGATCTAATACTATCTTCTTTGGTTTCATGGCCTGGTAATGTCAGGGAACTAATACTATCTTCTTTGGTTTCATGGCCTGGTAATGTGAGGGAACTAATACTATCTTGATGAGTTTTATGGTCTGGCAATGTGAGGGATCTAATACTATCTTGATGTGTTTTATGGTCTGGTAATGTGAGGGATCTAATACTATCTTGATGGGTTTCATGACCTGGTAATGTGAAGGATCTAATACTATCTTGAGATGCTTTATGGTCTGGTAATGTCAGGCAACTAATTCTATCTTGATAGGTTTCATACTATGGTAAAGTCAAGGATCTACTATCTTGATGGGTTTCATCATCTGGTACTGTCAGAGACTTTGGGTCTTGAATTGTTTCATGGATTGGCAATGTCCAATAAGCATAATGTTGTAACATTGTAGTAAAAGATGGGCACAATATTATAATTTTATCATAATTTTAATAAACTAATTCAAAATATAATTTACTGCTAAACTTCGAAGCACTTAATTCTTTAACACTAAGTAATTATCCTGTATCAAACTAAGTATTGCTTCACGGGCACTTTATAAGACTTATTAGGGCCCGTCTACACCTATCCAAGTCTTGAATGCAAGTATCATATTCTCTTGTATTGCATAGTGTAGACACCCTACTTGAATGAGTTTTAAAGAGAAATTATGTGACATCCAAGAAGATAATTCCTTGCAAGAAAGTTAGAACACGTTCTATTTTTCTACAAGTTTTTGGCTGTCAAGACACTGATAACACCGGTTTGACACAAAACATGTGCCCCGAAGGTGTGATAGTGTTGTTGTTTTTTTTTATTATTTTCTCACTTTTTTGTTACTGATTCAGTGTTCATGATTTGTAAATTTTAGTACATGTATACAACATATTGGCCAGAGGAACATATCAATACACTGATACACAGAAGAGCAAAAAAACCAGTAAAAAATCAATTTTTCTAGTAGTTAATGATCTTGTTCATTCATGAAAAAAAAATTTGCAGCAATTTATAAGCTCAAAAAATATTTTTCTCACATTTTCCATTATTTTAAAAGAATGTACACATTTCAATTTCATTTACTCCATTGTTTTTAGCTAATTGCATCATTTTCCCGCTTTTTTATCAACACATTTTACGGAAACATGATAGTATAGACAAAGATATAAATCCTGGGCAATCTTAATTAGACATTTCAGTAAAAATTGTGCCTGATTAAATATTGAAAGGGCCATTTATTTAGCTTATCTAAATGTGACATGTAAGAAACTTGAATAGGTGTAGACGTGGCTTTCCAAGGATAAATATTGCATGCAATAACAAGGTGATGTCTGGTGATAAAAGCTATAACATTACAATTTAGCAATTTAATGAACAAACATTTCTTTCTCTAAAGGCACCAGGACAAATATATTATCTTGTTCAAAATCACCAGAGGCAAATTAGAATAAAGGTAATTAGGTAAGTAAGATAAAAACATCACAAAAATATGTGTTTTGTCAAATTATTGATGTTTCTTTCAAAACAATTGTTTTTTTGTCATCAGGAGATACTCTACTGATACTCTCTATACAATCTGGACACATGCCTATATTGTCAAATAGTTATTTACAAATTAAATGAATTGTCAATAAAATCCAAGTTATAATGGTAAATAGGTAAATAGTTTTCTCATACAATAGCACAAAATTAATGTTATCAATATCAAACATCAAAGATGAGATGGTCCATACAGCTAGTTTATGGGAGGTCAGTGGCATGAAAGGGTACTTTCCTTCAAGAAAATTCTCTGCAGTGATTTAAAACCCAAGAAAACATAAAACCCTCATGTCATCACCACAGGGTTCCCACACACACTTCTGTTACTATAATATACAATGTCCATATATAGTGCAATTAACCTTCACAAGAAATTTGAGCAAAAAATAATTGGGACAAATGTTTTATAGTCTCTGTATAAAAAAATTTCCCAATTATTTTCCTCAAATTTCTTTGTGAAGGTTATTTACACTAAACTGTATACACGTACTTACAGACCCAGCTTAAGGTGTGTCGGTACCCTGTGGTCCATGCACACAGAAAGTTAAAGCTAAATCCAGACAAAACACTTTCAAACATTCAACACACATCAATATGTACACATTTTAAGCATGTTATTTTTATGTTTTGTTCTATTATAATAAGAACAAGAAAAGCATTGATGCAAAGCATCACTGGGCGTCCAAGCAAGAAATGCAGCAAGTGAAGATGAACTAGTACACATATGATGACAAGATATTCTTATAAACTACCAGAAATGTATATCACTTATGAATGAGCGAACGAAAGACATTGTTCATTATGAACTTTGATTGGCATGCTAGAGATTAGAATATTATTTGTTATTTCTTTATGATCGTTGTTATTAATAGCAACGGATATAAATGTATGCAATCATTTATAATCCATATGTGTAACGCATGATCAACACGTACCACACCTTTGTAATTGTCCCTTATTATGTTATCGCTATTAGCGAAGACCCCCTCTTAAGGTATCTGTTCACACTTTAAGTTAGTAAAAATATGACACTGGTTATATTACCATGTTGATCATGTTGAGCATAATTGTTTATTATACAATAATTGTAATATCTATTAATTTTAATAAAAAAATACAAATTTTATGAATATTGTTTTCTTTTCTTTTTTGTGTTTTATGTGCTATTTTAATACTGAGTTTATCACTACTTTTTTTAATTAAAATTGTAAAATAAATTTTAAGAATTCAATTGTCATATTGACCGACGATTATAAGCCAAAGCTTAACTGGAAAAAGTCAGTAAATTATGGTTTTTCTTTTAAAATATAATATTGTTTATTTTTAAACCATGTACATGTACATTTGTATTTTTCTTTATCAT